TTTCTAGTTTCCAGACAATAACTTTTGTTTAAGTGTATGGATCTCTTTTAAATTGTACTTCAAAGTTCCATACTAGAAAGGAAAGCCTGGGATTGAGTTGGGGGTAATTGCCCCAAGGGGGATTCAAAAAGTTTGGGGGGGAGGGGGCGGATTTTTTTTCCAATTTTTTTAAGGGGTTCATATTTTTTTTCAAAATTTTTCAAATATCAAATTTTTGAAATGTTTCAAGAAGAAATCTTCAATTGCACAGTTTTGCGCAATAGATTTGTAAGATCTTTGACCACATTTATTTTGTGTCAGAAACCTATATTATGTCAAAAATTTAATCACAATCAAAATTCAGACAGTTTCAAGCTTGAATATTGTGTCCAAATTTGCCCCAACTGTTCAGGGTTAGACCTCTGCGGTCGTATCAGGCTGCGCTCAGCGAAGCATTTTATTGGTGTATGGAATGATTATAAATTTCTGTCTGACAGCGTTCATTTGACCGTAACCTTATTTTTCATGGTTCATTGGTCAATGTTTAGTTTTCATAGTTAAGTCTGTTTCATAGATACTTTAAGAAATAATGTCAACTATATTTGGTGCATGGAATGATTGTAAGGTGTACATGTCTGTCTGGCATGTATTACCAAACCTTGACACCATTTTTATGGTTTTGGTCAATTTTAAAGGGGCATTAGCTACGAGATGTCAAAAAATAAAAAAAAAATTTTTTTTGTTCAATCATTAACGAAAGTGAAATAGTGAAATAATAATTCGCTATTACAGTGGATTCATTATTATTCCTTGGATACTAATTTTCTTGGATTTCGTTGGTACAGGGAACCCACAAATTTAAATGTTCAACTAATTGCGAATTCGCTGTATGATTATATGCAGTCTTTTGGAAAACCACGAAATTCAAAGTATCCACGAAAATGCAAGTCAACTTCAATCCACAAAAATTGGTTCCCATGAAAATAAATGAATTCACAGTAGCATCCAATTTGGTTCAATTTTGTCAAAATAATATAAGAAACATTGCTGATTAATTATTCACTTGCAAGTTGACCCCATTGAAATCATATTCATGTGACCTTCAATTTAACCCCATAGCTGGAGATGAATTACGCATGTACGTCCCAAAATTGGTTTCCGTTCTCTAACTTTAGTTTGCCTCAACCAAATGTTATGAAACTTTTCCACAATGCTTATTACCAAAAAAACAGATCGAGTTTGAATTTTGGTGGCATCACTTTTATCGTTCGAGAGTTATGCCCCTTTACAAATGGAAAAATTGCTGAATTTTTCGTTTCCGTTCTCTAACTTTAGTTTGCCTCAACCGAATGTTATGAAACTTATCCACAATGTTTATTACCACAAAACACAGATCAAGTTTGAATTTTGGTGGTGTAACTTTTACCGTTCTAGAGTTATGCTCCTTTACAAATGGAAAAATTGCTGAAATATTTGTTTCTGTTCTCTAACTTTAGTTTGCCTCAACCAAATGTTATGAAACTTATGCACAATACTAATTACCACAAAACACAGATCAAGTTCTAATTTGGGTAGTGTTGACACTTTTACAGTTCTTGAGTATGGCCCTTTATAACATTATATGCAAGCAGGGGCATCATCTGTGTCCCATGGACACATTCCCCATTTATTGAACTAAAAGAATGATGCAGTTAAATATTAATGCTTGTATTTCTCTGACATGTAGAATCAAACAATAGAAGAAGAAAAACAAATCTGATGCCTTTTGCTCACAAAAATTGGTAAAAAAATAGTCCTCCATATTGTCTTTATTGTAGATCTTGTCTTGCTGGTCATTTTTTGTATATTTAAGTTTCTATCAATCTATTATAATTTTGAAGATAAGACAAGATCTGCAATGAAGACAATATGGAGAAAATCGTTTGATGACTCCTTATTTGAGTTATTGCCCTTTAATGATGATTTTTACCAATTTTTTTTGTGTTTTGCCTTAAATGTTTATAATTATAATAGATAAATAGACACTTTAAATCAAAAAAGATCAACAAGGTAGGTTTTACTAAAAAATCAGAATTTTGCCGATATAGTTAAGTAGACTGACTCTTTATAGGAGTGATTGCCCGTTAAAGAAGGATTTGTTTTACCCTCTTTTGTGTTTTGAGCAAAAACTAAAGAAGATAGAGGGACACTAAACAGACTGAAGGATCGGCAGCACAAGATCAACAAAACAGAGATTTTTGTCATGAATTCTATTCTATGTTTGAGAGTGTTGAATATGCACATAGACCAATGTGAGCGACACAGGCTCTTTAGTTTACTTCCTTACTGTTGAATTTGTTAATGATTGAAATTGACTTGACTTAAACACGGACAGCAATGAGAGCCAATAACTGAACTGTGATGTAAACAGTTATTTGAGCGTAACCATTTGCTTGCAACAGAAGCAGGATACCAGGTGACATTAAACTTATACCATACGTTTATTGCTTTATGTTATAGGTACATCTGTTTTTATACGACCGCAAAAAATTTTTTGTGGTCGTATATTGGTATGACGTTGGCTTCGTCGTCGTCCGGCGTCGTTGTCGTCGTCCGAAGACACATTAGTTTTCGCACTCTAAGTTTAGTTTAAGTGAATGGATCTCAATGAAATTTTACCATAAGGTTCAATACCACAAAAGGAAGGTGGGGATTGATTTTGGGGGTTATGGTACCAACAGTTAAGGAATTAGGGGCCAAAAGGGGCCAAAAATAAGCATTTTGGTAACTTCCAGACATAACTTGTGTGTAAGTGTATGGATCTCTCTGACATTGTACCACAAGGTTCCATATCACAAAGGGAATGCTGGGATTGATTTTGGGGGTAATTGCCTCCAAATTTTAGGAATTAGGGGCCAAAAAGTGGCAAAAAACAAGCATTTTTCTAGTTTCATGACAATAACTTGTGTGTAAGTCTATGGATCTCTCTGACATTGTATCACAAGGTTCCATATCACAAAGGGAATGCTGGGATTGATTTTGGGGGTAATTGCCTCCAAATTTTAGGAATTAGGGGCCAAAAAAGGGGCAAAAAACAAGCATTTTTCTAGTTTCATGACAATAACTTGTGTGTAAGTGTATGGATCTTTCTGAAATTGTACTACAAGGTTCCATATCACAAAGGGAAAGCCGGAATTGAGTTTGGGGGTAATTGCTGAAACGTTTAGGAATTGGGGGCCAAAAAGGGGCCAAAAATAAGCATTTTTCTAGTTTCCAGACAATAACTTGTGTTCAAGTATATGGATCTCTCTGAAATTGTACTGCAAGGTACCATACCACAAAGGGAAGGCTGGGATTGATGATGGGGGGTAATTGCCTCAATATTTTAGGAATTAGGGGCCAAAAGGGGGCAAAAAACAAGCATTTTTCTAGTTTCAGGACAATAAATTGTGTGTAAGTGTATGGATCTTTCTGAAATTGTACTACAAGGTTCCATATCACAAAGGGAAAGCTGGGTTTGAGTTTGGGGGTAATTGCCCTAAACGTTTAGGAATTTGGGGCCAAAAAGGGGCCAAAAAACACATTTTTCTAGTTTCCAGACAATAACTTGTGTTCAAGTGTATGGATCTCTCTGAAATTGTACTGCAAGGTACCATACCTCAAAGGGAAGGCTGGAATTGAGTTTGGGGGTGATGAATCATAAGGGGGTTCAAAAAATTTGGGGGGGGGGATTTTTTTTTTTTTTCCTTTTTTTTCTTTTTTTCCTTTTTTTTTTCTTTTAAAATTTTCCATTTTAAGTTGGTTATTTCTGATTTATATTTAAAAGCAAATAATAATTATATGGTAGGAGATACACACCAAACAGGATGTGTAAATTATTATATAATAAGTATTGTGCAATAGCAAGGAATTTTCAATTGCACAGTATTGCACAATATATAGCAAGAAATCTTCAATTGCACAGTATTGCGCAATAGCAAGAAATCTTCAATTGCACAGTATTGTGCAATAGCAAGAAATATCCAATAGCACAATATTGCGCAATAGCAAGAAATTGTCAATTGTACAGTATTGCGCAATAGCAAGAAATATTTAATTGCACAGTATTGTGCAAAAGAAGATACTTCGTATAAATTGCTTATTTCTTGACCAATTTCAATGGGGTTTTATTCTTGAATTCTTGGGGTTCTTTAATATGCTGAATCTAACGGTGTATTTAGTTTTTGGATTTTGGGCCCCGTTTTTAAATTGGTCCACATTGAGGTCCAAAGGGTCCAAAATTTAACTTTGTTTGATTTCATCAAAAATTGAATTATTGGGGTTCTTTGATATATCGAATCTAACTGTGTATTTAGATTCTTAATTTTTGGTTCCGTTTTCAAATTGGTCTACATTAAGGTCCAAAGGGTCCAAAATTAAACTTAGTTTGATTTTAACAAAAATTGAATTCTTAGAGTTCTTTGATATGCTGAATCTAAACATGTATTTAGATTTTTGATTATGGGCCCAGTTTTCAAGTTGGTCCAAATCGGGGTCCAAAATTAAACTTTGTTTTATTTCAACAAAAATTGAATATATGGGGTTCTTTGATATGCTGAATCTAACCATGTATTTAGATTTTTGATTTTTGGGCCCCGTTATCAACTTTGTCCACATTGATGTCAAAAGGGTCCAAAATTAAACTTTGTTTGATTTCATCAAAAATTGAATTCTTGGGGTTCTTTGATATGCTGAATCTAACCATGTATTTAGATTTTGGATATTGGACCATAATAGGTGAATGTCCAATTTAAAATTTTGAAGTTATTAGACCACATTCATTCTGTGTTAGAAACCTATGCTGTGTCAAATATTTAATCACAATCCAAATGCAAAGCTGTATCAAGCTTGAATGTTGTGTCCATACTTGCCCCAACTGTTCAGGGTTCGACCTCTGCGGTCGTATCAAGCTGCGCCCTGCGGAACATTTTATTGTATATTAAAACTGTAGATTGAAGGATAAAATCAATTAATTATTATTGACATACTATTATATTTTTCAGGTGTTTAATGGACTAGATTCAAGGACATGTGCTCTACTTTTTGACAGATATGAAATTGTACTGGATGGAACTAAAATTTATGATCTTAAGGTTAGTCTTTTATCTATAGAAACAATCATATTGTTGACCACAGTTATAACAAAACCCTTTTGCCTCCTCTCTATCCTTTTGTAAAAATACAACCATGTCTTGTGTCGGCGGGTTTTTATTTTAGAAATGACCCTTCAGAGTTATCATTATTTGTCTGTTGCCTACTATTAGTTACATAGTGTGCTAATGACATAATACAATATATATGGGGTCAGTAAATTCCATATGGGGTGAGAGCGAAGCTCAAATCCCTATATGGAATTTACTGACCCCCATGCACATATATATCATATTAACTAGGTTACTAGCACACTATGTAACGAATTTATCTTACCAACTATCTTTACATGTGGTATTTAAGACTAGTGGCCTATCAAAGTGATTTAGTCTAAATTCAATACTTAGTATTAAGAACCTACTTCCATTTGTCTATACAAAAACAAAAGCTAACAATAACAATTTGTTAGCTTTAAATGTGTTTTATGAATTTATTTCAAAAGTTCATCATCAATTTCTTTGTCTGTTGGAACCTTCAAATTTTTCCTCAACACTAAAGGGATGTAACACCACTACTAACCGTGTATTGAAATAAGCCCCACTACTAACCCAATATGGAATATACATGGTCTCCATGTGGTTGCTTTTAACCAATCATATTCCTAGAAATGTATAGGAGGTAAGATAAAATAGTGATGTCATTGATTCCATTAAATTGACATAGTTTGCTCATGAAACAAAACCATTTTGCTTACATATTCATTCATTTTTCTAAAAATTTATGAGGAACATTTTCCAGTTTAAGAAAAGCTTTTTCACAACTATGAAACTGAAACATGTCAAATATTAAGATAAGTTTTTGTCATTTGATTTATTGAATGGTATCTTTATGTATAACCTTCAAAAAAAGGAAACAGACTGTTAAGGATATTCCCTACTCTGTTTCAAAATAAATTACAAGCGTTTTAAAAGACTGTTATAAATTAATAGTATATAAATAAAGGAACTAAAAAAGCAGAAAAAAATGAAGGGTTGTGTGCTTGTTTTTGAGATATAAGCCATTGAAAATTTGGCGGGAAATAATTCTCTCTAGACTTTTCATACATTTAACATTGGCACCGTTTTTCTTTAAAAAATATTGAAAAAATAACAAGGATTTTATAGTATTTTCAAATATGGCTTTTTTAACTATGTGTAATAAAATCATGAAAGGAAAAGTAGGGGTTAGTGGGGAAAATTTTTTAATGGCACTACATGGATAAAACCAGAGGATTCCGATTATCTGGCAAAAATTCAAAAACAAGAGGAGTGAACACCCTTAAGTGGAATTTTAGCCTTTAAAAAAGTGAGGGTGTACTGTTTTACCTCTGTCTGTCCATCCGTCAGGCAGTCTGTCCGTCCAATGAATATTTTTCATCGCATCTTTCTCAGGAACTACATTACAAGGATTTCTGAAATTTGGTTTCAGGGTTTATATGAGTCAGCTATACCGTGTGATGCGTTGTCAGATTCATCACTCAACAACTTCCTGTTCACCTTATACTTTTAGCAGGTGGGGGTATCATTAGTGAGCAGTAGCTCACAATTTCACTTGTTATTTTAGTGTCATGGAAAGATTACATGATTTAACATTGTATTGTATAAGTACCTATACCTGATGTTCAGTGGTTGTGGTTTGTTGATGTGGTTCATAAGTGTTTCTCGTTTTTGTTTTTTTTATATAGATTAGACTGTTGGTTTTCCTGTTTGAATGGTTTTACACTTGTCATTTTTGGAACCCTTTTTAGCTTGCTGTTCGGTGTGAGCCAAGGCTCTGTGTTGAAGACTGTACTTTGACCTATAATGGTTTACTTTTACAAATTGTGACTTGGATGGAGAGTTGTCTCATTGGCACTAATACCACATCTTTTTATATCTATACAAATTATTTTGTAGATTGCCTGTGATATGATGAAGGAAGGAGGTTTAGGCAATATCACAGATCTGAAGAAGATTGGATTCAGTCCTGACTGTATCCCTGTTGACACTGAGAATGTAACTGCTGTATGTTTGACCTACATAAAGGCATATCAGTATTTTTCCCAGTAAGTATCTTTGTAAATAATATTTTATCAGCCATTATTGAGTTATAATTCAAATTTTTTGTCCTTAATGGCTGATTTAAAGTAAATAAACTTTGAAAGGTAATTTAACAGCATTAATTAATAAACCAAATATTTTGTACCATACATTCTATGGTTACTTTTAGTTTTAAAATGTACCTTAGGTAGAAAAAAAGGTTAATTTTCAGCTCACCTGGCCCAATGGACAAAGTGAGCTTTTTTTTCTCATCACTTGGTGTCCGTCGTCGTCCGTCATCCGTTAACTTTCACAAAAATCTTCTCCTCTGAAACTACTGGGCAAATTTAACAAAACTTAGCCAAAATCATTATTGGGGACTCTAGTTTAAAAAATGTGTCTGATGACCCGCCTTCCAACCAACATGGTTGCCATGGCTAATAAAATGCTCCGCAGGGCGCAGCTTGATACGACCGCAGAGGTCGAACCCTGAACAGTTGGGGCAAGTATGGACACAACATTCAAGCTTGATACAGCTCTGAATTTGGATTGTGATTAAATATTTGACACAGCATAGGTTTCTGAGACAGAATAAATGTGGTCTAAGAACTTAAAAATTTTAAATTTGACATTCACCTATTATGGTCCAATATCCAAAATCTAAATACATGGTTAGATTTAGCATATCAAAGAACCCCAAGAATTCAATTTTTGATGAAATCAAACAAAGTTTAATTTTTGACCCTTTTGACCTCAATGTGGACAAAGTTGATAACGGGGCCCAAAAATCAAAAATCTAATTACATGATTAGATTCAGCATATCAAAGAACCCCATATATTCAATTTTTGTTGAAATCAAACAAAGTTTAATTTTGGACCCCGATTTGGACCAACTTGAAAACTGGGCCCATAATCAAAAATCTAAATACATGTTTAGATTCAGCATATCAAAGAACCCTAAAAATTCAATTTTTGTTAAAATCAAACTAAGTTTAATTTTGGACCCTTTGGACCTTAAAGTAGACCAATTTGAAAACGGAACCAAAAATTAAGAATCTAAATACACAGTTAGATTCGGCATATCAAAGAACCCCAATAATTCAATTTTTGATGAAATCAAACAAAGTTAAATTTTGGACCCTTTGGACCTCAATGTGGACCAATTTAAAAATGGGGCCCAAAATCCAAAAACTTAATACACGGTTAGAGTCAGCATATTAAAGAACCCCAAGAATTCAAGAATAAAACCCCATTGAAATTGATCAAGAAATAAGCAATTTATACGAAGTATCTTCTTTTGCACAATACTGTGCAATTGAATATTTCTTGCTATTGCGCAATACTGTACAATTGACAATTTCTTGCTATTGCGCAATATTGTGCTATTGGATATTTCTTGCTATTGCTCAATACTGTGCAATTGAAGATTTCTTGCTATTGCGCAATACTGTGCAATTGAAGATTTCTTGCTATTGTGCAATACTGTGCAATTGAAAATTTCTTGCTATTGCACAATACTTATTATATAATAATTTACACATCCTGTTTGGTGTGTATCTCCTACCATATCATTATTATTTGCTTTTAAATATTAATCAGAAATAACCAACTTAAAATGGAAAATTTTAAAAGAAAAAAAAAAGGGAAAAAAAAAAAAAAAAGAAAAACAAAAAATCCCCCCTCCCAAATTTTTTGAACCCCCTTATGATTCATCACCCCCAAACTCAATACCAGCCTTCCCTTTGTGGTATGGTACCTTGCAGTACAATTTCAGAGAGATCCATACACTTGAACACAAGTTATTGTCTGGAAACTAGAAAAATGCTTATTTTTGGCCCCTTTTTGGCCCCCAATTCCTAAACGTTTCGGGCAATTACCCCCAAACTCAATTCCAGCTTTCCCTTTGTGATATAGAACCTTGTAGTACAATTTCAGAAATATCCAAACACTTACACACAAGTTATTGTCATGAAACTAGAAAAATGCTTGTTTTTTGCCCCTTTTTTGGCCCCTAATTCCTAAAATTTTGAGGCAATTACCCCCAAAATCAATTACAGCCTTCCCTTTGTGATATGGAACCTTGTGGTACAATGTCAGAGAGATCCATACACTTACACACAAGTTATTGTCTGGAAGTTACAAAAATGCTTATTTTTGGCCCCTAATTCCTTAACTGTTGGTACCATAACCCCCAAAATCAATCCCAACCTTCCTTTCGTGGTATTGAACCTTATGGTAAAATTTCATGGAGATTCATTCACTTAAACTAAAGTTAGAGTGCGAAAACCAATGTGTCTTCGGACGACGACGCCAGAAGACGACGACGACGCCAACGTCATACCAATATACGACCAAAAAATTTTTAATTTTTGCGGTTGGTCGTATAAAAATAGAACATAGAGGTAAAATGCAAGTTTTGTCTATTATTTTGAAAACCGTTATGAATAGAGGAAATCTGACAGGAGCAGAAATGTTCAAAATATTGAGCTCTCTCAATTGTCCATATAAGTCAAAATTGTCAGACAACTTCTTATAAGAGTACCATTTTTTTCATTTTTGCCTATTATCTCCTTGGAACAATTGCCCTTTATTGACGATTTTTACCACTTATGGAGGGTTCTGCCTCACATGATAAAAATTATAATAGATAAATAGACACTTTAAAAATCACAAAAATGATCAGCAAGGCAAGATTTACTCACAAGTCTAATTTTGCTGATGTAGGAAGTATATTGTCACTCTTTGTAGGAGTGATTCATCATTGCCCTTAAATGAGGATTTTTTTTACCGTCTTTTGTGTTTAGAGCAAAAACTAAAGAAAATAGAGAGAAACTAAATAGACTAAATGATCAGCAATACAAGATCAACAAAATAAAGATTTTTGTCATGAATTCTTTTCTCATCTACAATGTCCTTTGTTGAATATCTACATAGACCAAGGTGAGCGACACAGGCTCTTTAGAGCCTCTAGTTTATGTGTACCCTGAAATAAATTTGAGAGCATATAGTCATCGCTTTGTCAATCCATCCTTCCATCTTATGTGTGTCCAAAACAAATGGTTCTGCATTGTAAAACTAGTATCCCTTGTGTGATTGGAATGAAACTTATTCAGATGGGAGGTATATGGTAAGCAAAGAGACCATTGGATTTTAGGGTCAATATGTGAAAGTTCAAGGTCACTGTCATTAAAAATAGAATTATTTTTTTAAAGATGGTTTCAATGGTAACCTTTGTTTCCTTTTTTAGTTTTAAAAAAATTGAATAAATGATATATTTAGATAAGAAAAAGAATCTAATTGATTTTCAGATCAAAATGTCAAAGATCAAGGTCACAACTGCTAAATATAGACTGAAAAATAAATTGCAATTAATTGTTTCTAGTTAATGTTTTGAGGTACACTTGTTCAATATAAACTTGCACAAGTGGTTGAAAGTCGAAAAAGGAAGGAAGCTAAAAGATTTAAGGTTCAGTTGGTGAATAGTCATGGTCATAGTTTCTAAGGATTGCTGTATGAAATTCTTCAAAATTTTGGTTTCTAGATAAACTGTCTTGAACATGTCTTTTAATTTTTCTTAAATGTTTTTACTGGCATGTTTTATTGTGCTTCCAGACAAGGCAAGTTATCAAGAGTCAGAAGAACCCTTGCCTAATTTTTTTGAGTGTATTATTTTCTTGAAAAAATGGTTCCTAGCCACTACAAATCCATAAAAATGCTAACTGGTATTTCGTACCCATGGTGCTCTATAACAACTGACATGATATTCGCGTGTAATACACTCTTTTTTAACGGTTTACACACGAGGATCTTGCCTAGGGTGTTGCTTTAAAAGCAGCAAAACAGACCACTGTTGAATACAATAAAAGTTTACTCTAGAATATTGTTTTTATTATATATTAACAAATTTGTATAATCATGATAATGTGAAATTATGAACATTGTTCATATAAAAAAGTCTGTATCTTCGTCGCGCATTTTCACACGCTTTTTGACATGTCATGTCATGTCATGACATGATTTCTCATTGTCAGAGGTTGGCAAGTATGTTATAATTTTTATCCTTTATGATGAATTAGATTAATGAATAATAAAATCATTTGATATTTTAAATATCTTTGAAAAAATGTTTTATTTCAGGCTATTGCATGAAGAAATGAAATGTTACAAGAAACAACTGTTTGAAATGGTCAATGCTGACATTTGTAAAAAAGACTTGAAAAAGTTGAGAGAGAGAAAGAAGAGAGAATTAAAACATGCTGAATACATTAAAGGATGGTATTCTGATCAAAGACAAACTTCAAAGTCCAAAAAAGTTGATAAAATGATGGACTTTCCATTTTCCCAATTGCCATCACTATTAGATGAAACAGAGAAAAAGGATGAATTTGAAAGCATTCTAAGAAATGCTTCTTCAAGTTCTCAATCTTTAAAAGCTTGCAAACAATTACCAAAAAACTGTAACTCAACAAGTAATTTGCATGCTACTTCATTACATCCATCTGTGAATAACGATTTACGGCAAGAATTTAATGAAACAAGACAGATGGCTAGACAATGTGCAACACAAAAGTCACAGGAAGAACAGTATCAGGTTATTGCTGTTGTGAAACAGGAAAGTGTTGAATTTCCTGACGGACGCCGATATACTTGTAGATCAACTGTAGTACCTGATCCTGTCATTGTTGAAGGCAAAAGTACAGCCACACAAACTGAGTCAGATAAATGTAAAGATGTAGGCGTTCAGTGTGAAATTATAGACTGGAACAAATATCAGAAAATGATAGAACTAGCAGAAGTTCTTCTTAAGTAGATTATATGCATTCATTTTGATTTAGTGATTCAAAGGATTTTGACAAGAATTGTTTAAGCCTGAGCAGCCATGACATCATTGTATCTAGTTTAATAATTCTGTGGTTATATATGTTCCTGTTACTGATAATTAGAACTTAATGATAACATCCCTTGCTATAAAGGTTATTTAAAGACTCAACCATTTTTCGGAAATGAGGTTCTTCACTACAGCTGATGTTGAATTTAGTATTTAAGATATTATATTTTTAATTTTTGTCTCGCCTTGACAAAGTCAAAAAGCAATTCCATGGAGATTATTTCGCCCAAGTTTTTAATGAACTCGACTCTCAAATGTTGTAGCTCTTACTGAAGAAATTTTCCTTGCCTCTGGGGAAGCATGCCATAATGTTGCCAGTCATAGAAATTGGGGTTTGGCATTTACAAAACCGAATTGACGATTCTTCAAATTTCCTTAGGAATGTATTACAAAAATTACAAAAATCAATAGGACCTATTATTAATTTTTACAGGACTCGTTCTGTCAGTCCTGTGCTAATTTCGAGGACCGAGTTCCATTAAAATAATTCCTCAAAACCTCAGCTGAATTTGAAGCCTTCCTCAGCCTCAAACAAGAAAACATTGCTGAAGTCATTGAATCATCATAATTATGTATTTTGAAAGGAAGTTCATAAAAGAGTGGTTACCTTAACTTTTTTATGTTAATTTCATGTAGAAAAAAAGATACCATTGGGAAATCAAAATTGTAAATAAAAGCTCCAATAGAAAAAAATAAAATTAATAAAAAAATCCTCTTATATTTAAACAGCTAAAGGCAGAGTTATTTTGCAATTCATGAAGATGATTTTCATGTGACGTGATTTGAGATGGAGTTGATTCCCTTAGCCACCATAATGAAAGGCATACTGGTTGATTTGCCTTTAATATTTGACCAACCATTTAATTGAGACATGTGGAATAGGCAAGCCTTAGTAAGAGATACTTACTAGTTCAAAGTGATTAATATAAATGCTTTAACAAATTAAAATTGTTTAGAAAACAACTAGTAAAGACAAGCTGTAAATATTATTAGAACCATTAAGATCCACAACAATTTTAGGTGCATTTTTTTTTTGCTTTGCACTATCTATTCATCCATCTTTTGGAAAAAAAAAAAGTTATTTACTAAATGAAATTGGAGTCTCCCTTGTTGGTTTATAATAAGACTGGTATAAATTTTAAGGGGCAGGAGTGGGCTGCGTACAGTGATAATGATAGGTGAATGTGGCAAGATCCAGTTGAACCACTGCATACCTTAGCATAGTAAAATTTGCAAAATTATATACATGTAGTGCAGCTCTTATTGTTTGGTATTGGTTTTGTTGGTTGAACATTTTCTAGACATTCCAACTTGTATTGGGCTAATTGAAATAAAATAAAGTAGACAAAAATTGATTGCATTTGACAAGTCAAATATCTGTGATAATAATGTTATATTTATGAGCCATAATTTATCAAGTAATTTTAATAAAAGAAATATCAATATAGGAAAGATTGTTTTATATATTGTTGCAATAATATTTTTGTCTCTTTTCCTCTTTCCAGCATTATTATATACCTCAACTGGAAATGTTATGTATATTTACTAAAACAGGGCTGAACTGGTAGCCAATGGGAACAGTTGCTGCAACCAAAGGAGGGCTTTCCTTAGAAGTTATGGCCATTTTAGCTCACCTATCCATATTGGCCTAGTTAGCTATTGTCATCAATTGGAAACCTTTGTTGTCATTTTTCAAATTTGCTTTTTATCAGGAAAACTTAAATAGAAAGATAGGAACTCAGTAAGCATCAACACTGATTAGCAATGCAAGATAAAAAAAAAAGATAATAGGATAGAAATCACTGAATGATTCTGTAGTAGAAGTAAAATGATGATTTTTGTCATAAATCATTATAAGAGCAAAAAAAATCTAAGATAACTCAATTGATTCTTTCAGTTATAATGCTGATCCTTTTGCTGTTATAAGTATTTGTTTATCTATTATAGTTTTCAAGATAAAAAGCACAAATGCTAAGAATGACAATGCCACGTCATATCTGATTTTGATTGGCCAATTTTCCCAAAAAAATCTCAGAAATTACAAGGCCAAATGTTTTTTAGTTTCTAAAGAAATTATGATTTTGAGACATTCTACAAACTTTCCCCATTTAAGGATGTATACCTCTGAGGAGCCAAAAATTTCTCCAATTAAACTTTTTTTCTTAACCTGATTTTTGAGTTTATATGACTGTAAAAAAATAATTGGTGAGGAAAAATCATATGTTGGTGCACTTCTTTTTTTGCTACGGCCTTTAAAAAGTACCCAATTTTGATGATTTTCCCATTTTTCATCAATTTTTACCCATTTTTGGGCTATTATCATGAAAAAAATCTTAATTAAACTTTTTTTCATACTTTCAATAGAGATAAAAAGACCAATCTGAATAAATTTAACTTAAAAAAACTATAGGTAGGTGTTAATATAAGAAAGTTTTATCATATTTTGATGCTTTTTAGTGTAAAATTTACCATGATGTCAATTTTGTAAATTTGTGATTTTTCTCTGTTTTAAGAACAAAATGCATATTATTTCAACTCCTTTGTTATAAATGATTACAAAAAATACATATCTAAGAAATTTGAAAAGAAAAATGTGATATAGGATGTACATGTTTCTGGTAAAATCATTTCTTGTACCCCTCACCCATTTTCTCAAAATTTTGGCTAAAAAGACTGACTTGATTGGTAATAAAATTGAAAAACTTATTACTCAAAAACTACTTATTGTAAATATACAAATTAGGTTAAGTTTAAAAATGATATATATTAAATTCATTGCTATTTTCCATTTGTATCACATGTTTTGGAAATAATTCCAGAATGAGATTTCAATGATACTGAAACGTCAGAAGAATACATCCTTAATGTTGATCCTTTAGAAAACACGGCTGCAATGGTCGACATTGTTCCCAATGAAACTCTAGGGAAAAATCACATTACATCTTCTCTCGAACTATTAAGTCTAATGTAAAAGAAACTTGACAGGAATACTGTTAATTCAGAAATTATTGCATGCATTCATTATTGCGCATTCCTCCCATTTATAAAAACCTCGCAATAATTTCTAAATTTACAGTAATATATAGAAGAGCCCTCATTTAATTGGGATCAATACAAAAAATATGAAACTTTACAGGATTGATGCTTGGGAGACCTTCTATATATGATGCTTATTTACTATTGATTGAGTGGAAAACATGGTGGCATTGATAGTACATAGTTTTCATTAAAAGTCTGCGGAAGGTCACATTTTCACTCTATGAAGCCACTAGGTCAAATTTAACCAAACTTATCATGAATAATGGATGGAATGTTCATTTGTGTGAAGCAGGATATTCCTAACCTTCCAGAGTACCAGATATCACTTTTAGTTTTGATGATTTCTAAAGCTTTAGTTGTATGTATTTGCTATTTTGTCTTTTTAAGTTACTTTACATACTAGTATGTGTTTTGTTCATGTGTTGTTCATCTTGACTGAGATTTTTATCATTTCCCCTTTTAATATTGTTATGAATACAGGGAAATGAAGGGTATACATAAATATGACAGTTGTTGTCCATTCGTTTGATGAGTTTTATCATTTGATTTTGCCATTTGATTAGGGACTTTCCGTTTTGAATTTTCCTCGGAGTTCAGTATTTTTGTGATTTTATTTTATACATAAATGAGACAGTAACCAAACATTAGAAATAAGTAATTTCAGACTAGTGACAGGTGTATACAATATGTGTAGCTCTAATTGCCCCCAGTCTAAAGTAGAGGCTCTAAAGAGCCGGTGTCGCTCTTCTTGTTATTATAATTTTTAAGATATAAGGCAAAAACGCAAAAAAATGGTAAAAATCGTCATCAAAGGGCAATAACTCTAATAAGGAGTCGACTGACGATTTCGACCATGTGGAATTATTTGTAGAACTTGTTTGGCTGATTATTTTTGCATTTCAAAGTTTCTCCTAATCTGTTATAATTTTCAAGATAATAGGCAAAAATAAAAAAAAATGGTAAAATTTGTCATTTAAGGGCAATAACTCTCATAAGAAGTCGTCTGACAGTTTAGACATATGTGAACAATTGGTAGAGCTCAACATTCCAAATATGTTTGCTCTTGTCAGATTTTCTCTATTTATAATGGTTTTCAAAGTAATAGACAAAACTTGCATTTAACCCCTATGTTCTATTCTAAGCCATGTCGGCGATCTTGGTTGGCAGGCAGGGTCATTGGACACATTTTTTAAACTAGATACCCTAATAACGATTGTGGCCAACTTTGGACAAATTTGGCCCAGTAGTTTCAGAGGAGAAGATTTTTGTAAAAGTTTACCAAAGGATGCCAAGTGATGAGAAAAGCTCACTTGGTCCTTTGGGTCAGGTGAGCTAAAAAGGTCATGAATTAATTAAACAGAAACAGCAACCTAATGACAAATCGTTTATTAGGAGGCCTTGAACTCTTTCAAGCAGCTTTTATGCTCATCTGCAAACCAGAAAATCCATCCATCAATCCATATTTTTTAACCAGCGGACACTCACAAAATCTCTATAACCCCACATGGTGTCTTTACCTAGCATATGTATGTAAAAATTTTGTTCTTATCAGGTCCTTAAAAACTTTATGGGAGCTAACACTGGGAATTAATGGATTTGTTTTACTTTAAGTGATTCAAGATTCTTTTTATTTTCACTTGGCTCACCAGACTCAAGGGAAGTACAGGAGTTTGTGTGTTTCATCCTCAACCATGGTATAATTAAATGTATAAAATTGCAATTACTGACATCCATCAATTAATATGGATTCATTATTATTTGTGGAATCCCAATTTTTGTGGATTTCGTGGATATAGCTGAACCATGAATTCAGATGTTCAAAGAAGTACATGTACTAAATTTTTATAGGAGAAATTTGACAAAACCATGAAATCAAATAGCCACGAAAATTTCCTCAATCCACTAAAACTGGTACCCACGAAAAAAAATAGTCCATAGTAGTTCAAACAATAACTTCATACTTTTGTAGGAAATTTTTATTAAGCTATAAAACCTCATTAAATACATGTTTTAATAAACAACTAATCATCAAAAGTAGAAAGTAGAAAGTAGAAAACTCTCTTATAATTAACAATGATTTAGACATGTTTAAAACACATCTAATCACAAAACTACAAATGTAATTCTATTTTAAATATAACAATCATTTAAAATGCCAAACATTAATAAATTTAAGCTAAGGCTGCATTCACACTGCCCATGTGTAACATGTTTTGTGTTCTCAAGTTTGAATGTTTACATCTTTGTAATTACAAACTATTAATACAGATTTTTTATGTTTGGTCTAAGTACCCTTTTTCACAAACTTTATCGTTTGTTTGCACCTTCAACACCAAAAACAGCACTCCTGAGGTTGCTTCCACACAGGTGAGACAAAAATTTAAAAAAAATGTTTGAAATGTGCTCAATTCTACATTTAAAATTGATTTAACAGCTTCAAGAGTTTTCAAAATTTACAAGTTGATAATTTTTACTTAATGTTTAGAAATTTGTTTAAGTTTCAGCATGGATGCAGCCCAAGACACATTTATAACATTATCTGAACAATTTTAATATCTCCTTCTGCACATAAGTTTAAATAATTATATCTTTTTATGACAAGGATGTAATGTGTTTGTTTATTTACAAGCATCAATCTCTAGTTTGGTGGTCACAAATAGAACTCAATCAAAAGGAAATTTTGTATATTTACAATCATCAATCCCTTAACTGATGGTCACAAATTGAATTCAATGGAAAAAGGTTTTTTTTCTGAATTGATATTCATGAAATTAAATCGAGGCATGAGGACTGGCATTCCTTCAAATTTGAACAGTGTTAGTTGCCTATTCTACAACAAAATATTAGAATACTATGAATTTCAAATGTTATATTGCTACCATTGCACTAAAACACTAATGATATAAAAACAAATGAAGTGATTTCATTCAGTAAAGAAGGTAAAAAAAATTACTAATAAATTTTTACTTGGAATATTTTGTACGGAATAATATTTTTTTGCAAATTTCTAGAAGCATGCCTCGCTGCAATGGTTTTATTTCATATTTTCCCTATATCTCAGCTACAAAAAGTCTTATGTCTTAGATTATACTAGAGTGTCTGATTAGTTCCCACTATGAAAATAGTAATGACAAACTGTTTTTTTTTTTTTTTTTTTAAACTTAACTATTTCCAACGAGAAGCAAAAAATGAGCAAGAATTATACAAAAATGTTGATGAATATAACACAACACCAACAATGAAATCACATTTGAAGCATAATACATGTACTATAACAAATAATAAATTATCCAAACTCATAAAAGTGTCACCTATATCTCTTGGAATTGTCAGTTTGATATGATTGTTTTTATGCTCAGCCTAAGATAGCAGGAGAGCATTATGTTTTCTGGTCTGTGTATCAGTCTTTCTGTCTGTCCCGTAATATGTTAAGTTTTGGTTTATCGTTGTTAATCACAAAGTTTTGGCCAAATCATAAACATTTATTATAATGTAAACTTTAAAAATATCTGCCCATGACGGTTTCGATCCAGATTTAAGAGTTTCATCAACATGGAGTGGGGCATGGTGTCCTATGGACACATACTTTTATCTTACCTAAAGTCATTTAAGCATTTGTTCTGGTGAAACTTTTAGCATCGGGTGACTGACCCTCATATTTTTCATAGCAATTACATCTGAAATTTTTTAATCAGTTGATTTGAAATTGAAATAGAATTTTCCTAATTAGCCAGAAAACTGGTAAACACTTACATGATTTGGGTTTTAATACAACCTTTTCAAACTATAAACAATTCAACTCACTAATTTAATGTCAAAGGATTATAATTATCTTGGAATGAAATTATTGTGAACTTTACTATTATCTGTAATTTTAAACTTTTTGTGATTTTATGGTTCATTAAAACATGCATAATTTACATATCCAAGGTCAGTAACTTTACTATTATCTGTATTTTTAAACTTTTTGTGATTTTATGGTTCATTAAAACATGCATAATTTACATATCCAAGGTCAGTAACTTTACTATTATCTGTGATTTTAATATGTGCAAGAAATCAACATTTAAAATTCATGATAACTCTCACAAACATACAAAGATACTCAAAGGAAACTTAAATCAATCTATCAGCATGACTGCATTTTACATAATAACAATATTTCTATGCTTTGTACTAAACTAATGCAATTATAAACGAATTATAAAACGTATATGCCTTCTTCACTCAATTGCTGGCTATGTAATACATAAGAGCTGCCAAATGTATATTTTTCTATAAAAATGAGTAACAAGTTGAAGAATTACCACTCAAGTTCCTAAGCATTGCAGTTTTCCATCAATTTTTTTTCTCAGCATTTAACTTTTGTATTACATCCAGCAAACATATCTTTTTACTCCTTCTTCAAAGTCTATCAAACAGTATAACACCACAGAAATTACTAGTAGTAGTTGTTATAAATGTGATACTGAAATATTTTTATAATGAACATGGATCTTGAACATTGCTTTCAAGAAAACTGAGACTAGGAAAGATATGCATTCTATGATATCACAAAAATGACTATATACAGGCTACATGTACAGGGGCGGATCCAGCCATTTTTAAAAGGGGGGGTTCCCAACCCAGGATAAAGGGGGGGTTCCAACTATATGTCCCCATTCAAATGCATTGATCGTTCCAACCCCCAGAACCCCCCCTCTGGATCCGCCACTGATGTATTTTTTTTTTTTTTTAATATGTGATGATTCCATGGTAGGATTTCAAAGATCTCAATTTATAATCATTTAATGGCATTGAAATATATTTAACGGAAACATTTAAAAACTAAAATAGCATTGTTTTATGGAACTAAATAGCCTTATCTTATTTCGGCAAAGTTGATAAAATTTTTAATACATTTTAGACATAAGCCTCTTTTAAGGGAAAACATCAATGAATAAAAGGAAAAAATACTACTTTAGATATGAATCCATAATGTGTAAGTATTGCATATAAGTTTTAATATCTACAAACAGCATACTTCTAATCTAAAAACAATTGAAATTTAAGTATTTCCTAACATATTTATACTAATGGTATAAAATAAAGCAAAATGTCTGGATTATCTCCCCGTAACTATTATAAATATGCTCTTAATGACAAGAGATCAATTTCGTAAACTTCCAGTTAGAAGTAGTATGGATCTGTTTTTCATGTAAGCACTATATTCACAGCACTTTATTTTCATGCAAGCCTTGTGATTTTCATGTAAACACTATGGATAAAGCAGTTTCTAAATACCGGGTACTTTTTTTTATGTAAAAGCACTTAGGTTACAGCACTGTATTTAAAAAAAAATCAACCTTTTTAATACTCTTCAAGAAAACAGCAACAAATATTATAAATTCATAAATTTTATGATGTTTTATTACTGCAAGAAAAGCTATGCGACTAGCATTGCATTAATTAGAATTCTATATTTGTGTGTAATACATTTTAAAAATTGGCACTAATTTGACATGTTTGTCCGTTAACAAAAAAAAACAATAATATATGTACACAGTAATTTTTAAATTCACAGTAAATAATTAATTTTTCTCAGTTTGTTTGCCTAGATTTTCTGGTAATCATCATTTATTTTTTTTTTTGTTTCTTTGACTTAGGTGTTTGCCCTTGGTTATTGCTCTGTGACTTATTTGTTTGTCCTTGGTTAGAGCTCTGTGATTTATTAGCAGCTTTTGACTCCTTCTTCTTTCTTTCTTTTAGCTTTTTCATATCATCTTTTTCAATTTTAGCATTGACCATTTTAAACAGGTATTTCTTGTAATCTTTCAATTCCCTATTCACTTCCCTGAAATACAAATAGAAATTAAGGGTTAAGCGTTTTTGAATAAAAGGAGATGAGAGCAAATATAAACAAGAATGTGTCCATAGTACACGGATGCCCCACTCGCACTATCATTTTCTATGTTCAGTGGACCGTGAAATTTGGGTCAAAACTCTAATTTGGCATTAAAATTGGAAAGATCATATCATAGGGAACATGTGTACTAAGTTTCAAGTTGATTGGACTTCAACTTCATCAAAAACTTGACCAAAAACTTTAACCTGAAGCAGGACAGATGTAAGGACGAACAGACGGAAGCACAGACCGTAAAACATAATGCCCTCTTCTATCGTAGGTGGGGCATAAAAAGTTAACTAAAGAAAAGGTATGCTAATCCAACAGCATAAAATGTACCATTGCATACCAGGAATATCCCTATATCCCTGCAATGTGATTGGAAAATGAGAAGACAGAAAATAACAAATGATTTGAAAACAGTCACAGCTAAAGTTTTTAGTTAAAGCTTTTCAGAATTATAAAACCGAACAGAAAATGAAAAGATAATTTTTTCAAAGTCTTAAATATGCCAATTTTTAGGAACTATATTTTTAAATTCTACCCATGCAAATATGAGGTGTAATACACAACTGGTTTCATTGCAGAAAAAAAAAACTTTTCTGAGAAACAAATCTTGAGTTTTTTCTGGCACTTTCCTATTTTTATTCGGTGTACCTTTGAAATATTTTTGAAACATGCAGTGACCTAGTTACTAATGATAGTAAACACCAAAAACAAAGTTGAGAAATAGCCTTGTTTACTTTCTTATATACAATGAAAAATTGAGTGCAATTTTCACTGAAGTACTGCATAGGATAAAACTTTATTCAAGCCAGGTATTTCTTATATTCGAAACAAAGATAAATTCTGAACAATTTAAAGATAAAGTGCTGAAAGGCAAAAACAATGGTAGTACATACATGTATTACCACTGATAACTAAGGACTGCTGAAATTTACAAAATTGCCAAGGACATACAATACAGTTTTGATTTTAAAGTGATTTTTTGACAAGCATTTAAAATTGGGAATTGAAACAGGGAATACGGCAAAGAGAAAACAACCTGACCAAAGAGCAGAAAACAGCCCAAGGCCACCAATGGGTCTTCAACACTAACCGGTTGTGAAGTACACTTGCATTCACGCTATTCTTTTCCTGATCAATTTAAATATGTTATAAAAAATAAACCTTCATGTGCTTCTTTTGGAGATCAACATGGGCACAACATTTCAGATATTTTCTCAAAATTTAGGTTGTTGGACATTATTACCACTTTTTGGGCAGAAAATCTATTTTTTTTGTTTCAAAATATATTCACACAAGCATTTTTTTGTGAAAACATTTAGAATATCTTCTTATCATACTATGCTCTAAATTGTGTAACTATTCTTTATAAATATTTTTTTTTTATCAAATTTTCATGATTTTAGAAAAAATAACCTGCATTTCTTGCTGTATATTTATCTTATTTAAAGGGGCACTAGCTGTCAAATTCGTGTTCACCGATTTGACTCAAATTCTCATATTTGATTTATAACAATGTAAAACATTTATCCAAATTATAAAAAGTCTAAAATAAACAATTGAGTGGACCTCTGACAACCTCTGATGACCATATAAGCGATATAAACATAAATATAGATATAAATAGATATCGAAATCGTGCAATTGGATTTTTCGAGGTCTGTTTAATTTCATTTTATAGATTAAAAATATATGTTAATCATCGTTTTTACCTGTATACAAATGATTTTTTTGTGGATCGAATCAGTCAATCAAATGATTTACCTTTGTTTTACTTTCAATGTTGACATTCTTTTCTTTTAAATAACTTTACACGCACTATTCATGCATTATCCATCTCAGCCAAGGGGTTAAATTGAAGTTCACATGAATACGGATTCAATGAAGTTAAATTATTCACTTAAAAGTGAATAATTCATCATCAATGTTTCTTAGCTTATTTTGACAAAATTGAACCATACTGGCTGCTAAAAGCGAATTATTATTTCACTATTTCACTTTCATTAATGATTGAACAAAAAAAATCATAATTTAAAATGTTTATATATCTCGTAGCTAGTGCCCCTTTAAAAAAAATTATACCAGTAATCTTCCTATGTAATTAAACCAAGTCATTAAATAAAACAGGGATCAAATTCAATATACTGGTTTTAAAGCTAATTATCTAAATCAGTGGGAAAATATATCCAAATCTGTCACATTTGGACATCACGAAAAAATGACATTTTACATTAGCAACATTATTAACTCCCCTGTAACTGTATAGTAATGCCCTTAAGGTTGAAACATGTTCAATTATTTTAAAAGACACTATTCATTTTAATCATCAGAATCAATAAATTCCTGTAAAATATCAGTTTAATAATGAACGGACACTGTTTGGCAGCCCCCCGTACATCCCCAAATCAATAACTGATTTTTCCTTTTTGAAAATCCTGTTAAAAATGAGACATGGTATGATTGCCAATAGGACATCTATCTGCCAAAAGACCAAAGGACAAGGATATAAACAATCAAAAGTTATACAGCCTTCAACAATGAAAACCCATACCACATAGAAATCTATAAAATGCCCTGGGTACCAAAATGAGAAACAATATATAAATAGTGAAACTAACAGCCTGATTTATCACATATCTTTTGAGTCTCTTTTAATGATATCATACTCTGTTCAATGTGATACAAGAAATATTTCTTCATGCTTGAAATAGATAACAGGCCACAGCCATAAGAGAATGTAATCTACATAATATCTCAGATAACAAAATGTAAAACAAGAACAAGACCAATACCAGGTCTGGACTGGCATTGCTGCATGCAATTGATTAAGGTAATATGTAACTGATCATTCCCTTTCATTGGTGCCAAGAAAACTTTGATGAAAATTTTCCTTGTACAATGAGTGTTGTAAAATTTCAAACTATGGGCAAACAGGAAGTGGATACATGGCAGATGTAAAAATTGCTTACTTGCTACAACTCAGCATTATAAAGCTGCAAACGAAATATCAAATCATTCCCTTTTATAGCAGCCAAGAAAATTTTTAACAAAAGTTTTCTTTTGGACAGACGGACGGAAGGAGTTGAGCGGTTACTAAATCTGCTTCTGCCTTCAATAATGCAGGTTATAAAAAGAGAGAAAACTAACGGCCTGATTTAAGCTCTAATATAAAATGAAAAACAATTTTGACTGATAAAATAAAACGCATCAAATTTAAAAGGAAACAGAACAAGGATAGACTTACTTTGAGAAATACTTATAAGCCTTTAGGTAGGGCAAACACACAGCAGTAACATTATCTTTTTCTACAGGGATACAGTCAGGACTGAATCCAGTCTTCTTCAATTTATCCATATCACCAAAACTTCCTTCCTTCATCATATCATAGGCAATCTGCAAAAATTTACAAGATATATCAAGTCTTAATTAATGTTAATCAATTTGCATGTTCAATTCTTCAACATGTATTTCTAAAATATATAGAAATAAAGAAATGATGCATTTGTGAATGACAGCCAATCAAAATCCTCAAAATAAATATAAGAATGACCCTTGTCTCACCTATTACGTTACTTGAATTTATTTGTTTTTTTGTCTTCGATGATTTAACAATTCTTCTAATTTACAAAGAGATCACAAGTAAAATTGAAGGATTCATTATTTCCTAGTCGGAGATCAGATATACATTTTTGCGGTACAGAAATTCATAACAATAATACTCATTAAAGGCAAACTATACATTATTGGAAGGTCTTTCAGATTTTTATGAAATTTTCTAAGCATTAAGAACCTTTTATTTTTGTGGGTACCAATTTTTCGTGGATATTTGATTTGGTGGTTTTGCCGAAATTCTGTATACAAGAAGCTATAGAAAACATGTACTTTGTTGAACTTTAAATTCTTGGTTAACCTATACCAAGAAATCCTTGAAAATTGGTATACCACAAATTATAATGAATCCACACTATTTAAATATGGTGGCTCCAGGCGTGTCAATTGTGGATTTGAAGGCAAATTTTAGCCAATGAACAAAATTGTTACATATATATTGCATTAGAATAAGGAATATGATTACAGATAAAGAAAATAAAGGACAAACCTTGAGATCATATATTTTAGTTCCATCCAGTATGATGTCATATTTGTCAAAAAAAACAGCACAAGTCTTGGAATCTAGTCCATGAAACACCTGAAAAGATATGATGGTGTCAGTATACCTAAATTAAATGCCATTTACAGAGTTTTTTTTCTTAAAATAATTCTATGAAGGGTTGACAAAGTTATTGAATTGTAACAAACTTTAACCCCAGATTGTATCTACTTGTTTACTGCAAAAAAATCAAGTCCATTTATCAGAAAAATACGGAAAAATGAAATGACTATTTAAAAAATTTACTGGATACTGGCTTTTGGTCATTTTAAATAAAAAAAGCTTCTGTCAAAATTTCATAAAATTTCATAAAGGTTTCACTAAGTTATTGATGTTTAAATAAATTGTTAACAAAGAGATATGTCTTGCCTTTTGTTATTTTGATAGTAAAATGCAAATGATAAAATCAAAATAGCAATACTGAAAGTTATGCAAAATATTCAAAATCAATAAACCATGACTGTAGGTACAGGGCCAAACAATCTCCATGGAAATGAGATGTGCCAATGCTAATACATTTGCATACCAAATATCACTGACCTACCAAATGTTGTGGTTCCCTGTAAACTGACCTAATCACAAACTACTAAATGTAAACTAAGCAAAAGTTTCAAAGTCAATAGACCATGACTGAGGGGATGGGACTAAATAATCACCATGGAAATGGGATGTGCCAATGCTATTACAACTGCATCCTAAATATCAAAGACCAACCACTAATGGTTCCCCGTAAACTGACCTAATCGCAAACTACTACATGTAAACTAAGCAGAAGTTTCAAAGTCAATAGACCATGACTGAGTGGGTGGGGCAAAATAATCTCCATGGAAATGGGATGTGCCAATGCTTTTACAACTGCATACTAAATATCAATGACCTACCACTAGTGGTTCCACATAAACTGACCTCATCACAAACTCATACATTGTTGACACTGCCTCCATCCCCACCGGACACAGCATACCTATGTATTGCTTTTTGACTCAGTCAAGGTGAGGCAAAAACTTTAACCACACTCTGAACCTAAATGTTGATGCTACCAAAGAAATCTAGGATTGCTATGTCTCTCTTTCGTGACATAAATGTTGCAGGTTCAACAACAAAAAACAGCACCTGTAAAATTGAACCACATCTTATACTTCAAACATAAAACAGAAATAAGGGTATAAAACCTCACTTTGAATGGTCCTTTTGGTTCAGGGATCCAATTGAAAAATTCTGCCACTTTGCCAGATGTCATTAAGTAAGGATTGTTTTCTACTTCAAAGATATAAGATTTATCTTCAGTTACACAACTAATTCTCTGTAAGCCATCATCCGATGTTTCAACATGAACAGCCACCATGTCTTTCTCCATCAGATAGTCTACAGCACTGACACTATTTTCAGGTTCATCTATTGTGATTATTTCTTCATCTATATAAAGTTGAAAATAAAAAAAATATAAATTGCTTCATCTAATGTATAAGATGAATAAACTGTTCACATATAATAGAGATATGTCTGTTTGTAATGTAGATAGTACAATGCACTTAATATTGAACTTTTTTTAGATTAAAGTAAATAAAAGTTGAATAATCTACATTGAAATAAGATGTCGGAATGCTAAAAGATTGCATACCATATCAATGACCTTCCATAAATTGTTACCCTTAAAATGATCTATACACAAACATAAACAATTGTCAATGACCATTGCCAGATGCCAGAAACAGCACACCAAATTCTTGCCTCCACAACTTCTTTGAGATGAGACAAAAATAACACTTGTTACAATGATATGAATGTTTTGAAACATTAGGAGGCCCTACATGTGAGAAATCCAGTAAGATATTAAAATAGTTGAAACATTAGGAGGCCCTACATGTGAGAAATCCAGTAAGATATTAAAACAGTTTCTCGCTACATTGAAGACCCATTGGTGGCCTTCGGCTGTTGTCTGCTCTATGGTTGGGTTGTTGTCTCTTTGACACATTCCCCATTTCCATTCTCAATTTTATTACATATTAATCAGAAAGTTATTACTACAAAAATAATTATCAAGTACAAGTTAATAAAAAACATGATAAAATTAGATACTTTGGAACACATAATCATTGAGATCAGTATTAAAGAATCAGGTAACACTATCACATTTCCATGTCCAGTGAACCACAAATCTGGGTCTAAACCCTTATTTGGCATTTATTTTTTAGATATTCACATCATAAAGATACGTGTACTAAGTTTCAAGTTGATGGGCAGACAGACTGACAGACATAAACTCGCAAATACAGTTACTCTACTGTCATAGTTTGGGCATAAAAATCCAAAATTACTGTAGGTATCTATTTTGCTAGGACCTTAATGATACAAATACTAAATATGTCTTTATATTAGTGTTGTCAAATCGAAACAGTTTTGCCTAACCGGTTACTCAGATAATCTTTCGACCGATTAACCGGTTAACCAGTAGTTCATTACTGTTCAGGTGATGTGTAAAGGCCTTATTTATAGTACCCTACAAATGTGGGTTTTTATGATAGGATAACTTGAAGTTTATTCTTGCGCATTATAAGTTTAGCTTTGAGCATTCCTAATGAAGTTTTACTTTTAATCAAATACTACTGTATTAACTATGACATTTAAAATGTCTTCATATTGAGAAGATAAAAATCTTCTTGATTTCGTCAAATTGACAATGTTGATTGTTTCATTTTCTCTGATGTCTCAGAGGATAATGTGGAGTGTTCAATTTGAGATGGTTTGGCGACCCAGAATGCATTAGTTACATTCACATTGATTTGCATTTCACCATTTTTTAGTCTGTATTTCGTTTAAAGTATGACAAAGCCTTGGACGATGGAGGTGGCATATTTAGATGTAGGTCTACATAATATTAAATAAGAAATGAAAAAAATAAGTAAATCGTAAAATTTAATCGGCTTACAACTGTTCAAAATACATGTATGCTGATTATGTTTATTTAAGATCTTGCCCCGAGCTCATAGACAAGTTGTCTTTGTGCTAATTAATTTTATGTTTTCAAGGTTAACAATAGTAATCAAAATACTGGATATTGATCTGCCAAATTAATTACCATGACGATCATTTTAGAATTGAACAAAAGGTATTTAATGCTTTCAATACACATTTATATCAAATCTATTAAAATTGGAAAAAGATCGGTTAACCGGTTAGCGTTTTTGGTATTTGATATTCTGTCCTTCCGACGCTTAAACGGTTAACCGATTAACCATTGACAACACTACTTTATATCTACATATTGATTGAGTCCCAGCACACTTACTAGATTCCACAATAACATCAGGACCAGATCCCTGAGCATCCACATATTCCTCCTCCGGTTCCTGATCCTGTACAGCATCAACAAACTTATCCTCATCCCAGTTATCAGGAGGAGTGTTTGGATAATCATCTTTGAGTTTACCCAGAGCCCCAGATCCAATTGCTGCATTCACATTCAGAGCCTCAGACTTCGTTGACATATCAACATTCAGAACCTTAGATCCAGTTGGTGCATCCACTTCCATCTTTTCATTAAACATTTGTGCAGTATCTTCCACAGCAGTCTCGTCTATTTCTGTCTTATCTTTCTTTTTCTGTGTTTCTGTTCCATCTTCTTTCTCCCTATCTCCTTTGCTTTTCTTGTTTTTCTTCTTCTTTCCTTTTCCATCCTGTACCAAACTTGCACCACCAATAGGTACTTTTACTACTTGTACAGTCTTATCAAACTCTAATCTCTGTCCTAATGAAAAAAATCAAAATATATAGTTTTGAGTCAGTGCCTTTCTATTGTACAATTTTGAAAGAATATTTTTGCTACTTGCTGGTGTGGTATGATTGCCAATGAGACAACTCTCAACTAGAGACCAAATGACATAGATGTAAGCAACTAGAGGTCACTGTATGGACTTCATGTTTTCTACGAGTATGAAACAGAAATGTGATCTTCATTAAAATTAAAATGTCACAGTATTGATCCTTATCATATCATCATTTCTCAAGCAAGTGGTAAATTTATTTTTCTTTGGGGGGGGTGGGGGGGGGGGGATGGATGGGGGTCAAAATTGTTAGCTTTCGAATAGAAAACTGTTTCAGTGAAACAGCATAATTGAGGTTTCTCATGTTTCTGTACATTAGATTTAATGGAGTTTTGCTTGGGCAATTTGATTTCAACAACTGATATTTTTCTAAAATTGTGTAAAAAAAATATTATTCCCTATTTGATTGAAAATTGATTGCTATATTGAATTATTTGGATTTTTACAATCAAATTTTAAGCAAATTTGTAACTAACTTAAGGGCAACGATACAAAAAAGATCTCTTATTGATTTTTCCTTAAAATATTGACACAAATTCAATTTTCATATGCAATATTAAAAATTTTTAATTTTTCAATACTTTTCTGAAAAGATATTAAAAAGTTTGAAATGGAAAGAGATACTATCAACGTTTTTGTTGCAAAGTGTTCCTTAATCTATAGGCATTCAAAAAAGTCGCTAAGATGAAGACTGATTGAGATAAAAAATTTGTGAATTGAAACAATTATTGGAAATAAAAAGCTGTAAACATTTTTCTTGCCAATAAAAATGTACATAGAAAAAATTCTACCTTTGATTAGTAAAATTATCCATAAAGACACATGACAATGGCTAAAATGCCAAGGACCTACAAAGTTGGGCGAGATAATTAACCATTTTTAGGTATCACTTACCATTGACTTTTCACATTTCTATGCTTTAGAAAACACAAAATTCAGCCAGCTTAAAATAATTTTTATAGAACCATTGAATAACAGAGACTAAATTATTAAATCACTCACTTGGATATCTCTGAACTGCATCTACAAAGTATTTAGGGGGGATAACTCCATCTTCATTTCCAGCACAAAGTATTACATTGTTGGCTGACCGGAAAAACTTGAATCCATCTAAAATAGATAAATTGTTCTTTAAAATTTAATTGACAGAATCAATCATTTGAAACAGAAACATAAGTTAACAATCTATTGGACAAAATGCTTATAATTGGTACATGTAATTCCATGTTCAATGTATAATGTATCATTCACTAACACATAGTTTTGGCCCTAAAAAATGAAAAATTTTAAAACGATAAAGTTGGGAAAACTTGATGAAAGTATATGTTAAAATGTTCATTTGTTTCAGTACATGAAGATTTTAACCAATTGCGTCATAAGTGATGTATTTGTGACGTAAAAAATATAGAATTCTGTTAAAACCAGAATTTGGCATAATTTAGCAAAATTTATGACAGTTTTCTGAAAAATGAACAGTGGCACCACCCCGTGTCCACAAATATTTTTGCTGAAATATTCTTTATATACCATATTCTTCACTTTTCAACCAAAATTTCAATGGGCAAGAGCTGGCCCCACATATGAAATCATGAAATAAGGTTGAAAAAGGTGAAAAATTTCTAGAAAAATTGAGTAAAATGAAATATATTTCTATTTCTGGCCAGTACCAGTATTTTAATAATATTTTGAGCAAATAAACAATTTTTCTTATGATACTTTAAAAAAATAATACATTTAGCTTTACATACAGTTTAGATTTACTCAAATAATGGAAGTTAAAAAAAAACCTTTTCAGGGCTGTTTATTGGGGTTACTGGCTCTACTCCTTTCCACACTGATTATCTATTAAAAGTGAATTTTACACATTTTAAATCAGAACAAGCATTCTGTGAGTATTGCCTAGCAATACATAGTCCCCTACCGGTTAAAAATTCATTGTACTGGAACAAAATGCTAACTTGATCTATATCTTGTCATGGTGTTAACTTTATAACAAATATCAAGTCAATATCTTCAAGCATGACGAAAAAAAATGTGGAAAATTGATTATTTGAGTGAATTTTCTAAGTCCAAGGACCATAACTCTGCACAAAATCATTAGACTGCAACAAAATTCGGACTTGATCTGTAACTTGTCATGATTAAACAATACACCAAACATCAAATCAATATCTTCAAGCACAAAGACAAAAATTGTGGAAAACTGATTTGCCGGACTGACGGATAGACAGACAGACAGACAGACGGAGTGCAAACCTTAAGTCCCCTTCGACTTAATAATTTCTGCCTCTAACATCTCATTTATTGTTGTTACTAGAACTTAAATTCATGTGAAATCATAATCTTTAAATTAGATTTTAACCACTTTAGAGTTATGCCTAAAGACTGTAAATTTTAGTTTGATCTAATGCTAATAATGATGGATTGATGTTTAACGTCCAGTTGCAGATATTACATGCATATCAGGACGAGAAAGTTTTAACATATGAATATGAACCTTGCTTTTAACTAAACCAACACTCTCAGAAGGTAATGACAGCTAAATTTCTAACAATAATTAAAACATCCCAATAAATTTCAAAGTTCAAAGTAACTAGATTCCAGAAACATTTTTGACTTTCTGAAATAATTCTTGTATGATTTACATATCTACAATACTTGAATGTGATTGGTACTTTAAACATTTTTTTCTTGGTTTACTGCAACATTTAAGGACCATGTTGCTGAAATTACTTTCTTAACCTATCTTTACACTATACAAATTTTACTATGATATATTCTAATGCAGGATACGTCTAAATGGAATCCTTGGATTCCAAGAACGTAGAATTTGAAAGAAAAAAGTACAAATGTTTGGGTTGAGAATTATAAGCATTAAACACATTTTTTCTAGAGGTTACTGATGTGTTAGCTCAGCCACTGACTCAAAACAGAAAATTCCTTTGGACTTTTTTTTTTAGTTTGTGAGTTATTCTGGCCAGTTTACACATCACTTGCCTCTAGAAAAATGTTTTTAATCCTATAATGAACCCTGGATGATCTCTTACCTTCCAAAGCCTGCTGTAGGTTAATAAATATCATTACTTCACATGATTGTCTCATACCTGTAAAAAAATATATGGTTAATGAAAAATTTGATGCACAAAAAATCTGTCTACTGTCTACTGATTCTGAAGAAGGATGTTTATCATCTGAATTATATACTGTTTGTTGTATTTACTTTAAAAAAAATGTTGATGTTGTAAAAATTTTTGATGTATATTTTACCTTTTGTTTGTGTATACATCTTATCCCATTTATTGGCCATTGGCATTGATGGACATCATTTACTTAAGTTTTTAATAAAAAATTGTAAAAAAGTTATTGACTTCAGCTTAGAAGTATAGGTTAAAAGAAATCAAGGATAAGTCCTTAAACTAAACAAAATGTGGTCAAAATAAACTACATACAAGGATTAAGGTCAAAAAATTTAAACAGCAGTAAAAGGTCCTATCCAATATTTTTTATTCAACACATTTTTTCTGAATTGATGTATATTGTACCAGCATGCCTTTGTCAAAAGATAATTCTTCTGTATCAATAAATTGACTGTAATTAATCCAAAGACTTACCACTAATGACTCCATTTTCTCCTGGTTCTCCTGCAGCAAAGTGGATATGGTTTCTCCCCATTCTACTTAATCCCTACAAAAGTTAAATCAACTTTCAGTTATATGTTCAGTGGAATATAAAAATTTGCCTTTGAAAAAGTACTGTCTGTCGAGTTTACTATGGTTCAGTCTTTTAATCTGACTTTCATGGAATATAAACAGTTTGATTGACATCCTAGTTAATCCCTGTAATAGTTTTATTGATCATTTAGATTCATGTGAATTACTGATTAATTATTTGGTGTTTAAAGCCACTTTCAGCACTATTGGCTATTATGTGGGGGTCTGTTGTCGGGCGAGAGAACCATCAACCTTCAGCTGGAAAACTGGCACTCCTAGTCAATTAAGATTGAAGTCAAATGCACATGCCCTGTGCAGGGTTGGAACTCATAACCTCAGTGTTTAACTGGCTAGTGCTACAGCAGATGAACTACTTTGACCACTTAGATCATGTGAAAAGATGGTTACTACAATACAAGAACCACTGGCAAATCTCAAAACTTTGAAATAGGAAAATGAAATAATAGATTGCCAGTAATTAGAAATAAAATATTTCTGATGTATTTTGTCATTTCAGTGAAATAATAGCATTTGTGTTGGACTGTTGTTGCAAAAACCGAGTGGAGAGAAGTATTGAAGAGGTTTTTTATCTGTATTCTAGGTAAGATGCTGTTGGAACCATTGTTTCAATCGTTTCAAAAACATACAACTTTTTGGAAGTAATAGCAAAGACAAGAATGATGAAGTTAATCAGCTTACTGTGTGTTTGATTTTCTCCCAAGAAGTATAGTAAGTTCCATGGATAACCATAGAAACTTCATTTGCAGATAATAATGGTTTTAATTCAAGATCCTCTACCTGAAAAAGATAAATAAACATTGATAGATTTTCCTGGAAACAAACAAAAGTATAATGGTAAAAATGGTAAGTCTATGTAAGCTTTCTCAGGATACTTAAATCATATTTTGTTGTAATAATATCTCCCCATTTGACATCTCAACAGCCTTATGGTTTGCAAAGGTGCTCATTTTAATAACAATATACTAATGGAGAGTAATTTAGCTAATATTCAGTGTTAATTTTTTATGTTAAAAAGTACTAAATCTTGTTCTTACTTTTTCAATGTTTATTTTTTTTTTTTTAATTTAGTGCCTACATCAAATTTTGTTACTACCAGTATAACAACATAGAAATGGGATCTTGCCTGATGATGTCATGCAAAAGAAAGAGTTACTAACAGAACTCAAAATGTTCTGTGTAATACCCAGTAAAAAAGAATCAAAGATCAACTTATTCTACCATTTATATCATATAAAGAGTCAAATAAATGATACTAAAGTCATGTTATATACACACAGTTTCAACAGTTACAATGTAGAATCAAAATATCTTTATTGATGTTTTTGAAAAAGTAATGTTCTCAGGGGTGCTACTATATTGGTTTTTGGGGAGCTGTGTTGTTATCAAAGTGTTTTTAAGAAATCAGAGCATTTAGGCAGTTAACAAACACTAGGTTGATGTTTTCCATAAAACTTTCATGGCATGTTTGTTGATAACTTACTTCAATAGTATGTCTTTGGTTTATACTTACTTCAAAGGTATGACCTTGGTTTGCTCTGATTACTTACTTCAAAGGCATGTTCTTGGTTTGTTCTGATTACTTACTTCAATAGTATGACCTTGGTTTGCTCTGATTACTTACTTCAAAGGCATGACCTTGGTTTGTTCTGATTACTTACTTCAATAGTATGACCTTGGTTTGCTCTGATTACTTACTTCAATAGTATGTCCTTGGTTTGCTCTGATTACTTACTTCAAAGGCATGAACTTGGTTTGTTCTGATTACTTACTTCAATAGTACGGCCTTGGTTTGCTCTGATTACTTACTTCAAAGGTATGACCTTGGTTTGCTCTGATTACTTACTTCAATAGTATGTCCTTGGTTTGCTCTGATTACTTACTTCAATAGTATGTCCTTGGTTTGCTCTGATTACTTACTTCAATAGTATGGCCTTGGTTTGCTCTGATTACTTACTTCAATAGTATGCCCTTGGTTTGCTCTGATTACTGACTTCAAAGGCATGACCTTGGTTTGCTCTGATTACTTACTTCAAAGGCATGTTCTTGGTTTGCTCTGATTACTTACTTCAAAGGCATGACCTTGGTTTGCTCTGATTACTTACTTCAATAGTATGACCTTGGTTTGCTCTGATTACTTACTTCAATAGTATGTCCCTGGTTTGCTCTGATTACTTACTTCAATAGTATGACCTTGGTTTGCTCTGATTACTTACTTCAAAGGTATCACCTTGGTTTGCTCTAATTACTTAATTCAAAGGTATGACCTTGGTTTGCTCTGATTACTTACTTCAATAGTATGACCTTGATTCGCTCTGATTACTTACTTCAAAGGTATCACCTTGGTTTGCTCTGATTACTTACTTCAAAGGTATGACCTTGGTTTGTTCTGATTACTGACTTCAAAGGTATGACCTTGGTTTGCTCTGATTACTTACTTCAAAGGTATGACCTTGGTTTGCTCTGATTACTTACTTCAATAGTATGACCTTGGTTCGCTCTGATTTTCATTTTTCCTGTTTCTTTATCTGGTTCCATATGAAATCTCTGCTTGTCGTTTGTTTCTACAATTCTTTGTACATCTTCAAGGTCATAGTCACGTAGATTGTTTTGCTTTTTCAGAATATCTTCCACATAAAGAAAGCCACCTTAAAAACAACACTTTATAGTGCAGAATTATCTATTCATTTAAATAGCTTTCAACAGAAGTCTTAAATATTAAGATGTACATTACACTTTACATACTTAGGGATATAAATATAAACAGAACAAATTTAGTTTGTTATCCATCGCCCATATACCAATAACAACATCACACACATGATATGTTTGCATTAAATTTATTGAAAAGCAGTTGACTGTTTTATGCAATTAAATATCATTCCTTCGGAAAAAATGATAGTTGCTCCATACTTCATTCTACTTTTATTTATTTTTCTCTATCATTTTGCAATTTAAAAGGATATGGTTTTTGCAAACACCTCTGTATGGTTTGAAATCTATTCAAGGATACCATCTACACACTTTGTAAATGAATGATCATGGTACAAATATTCTTTCTCAAAATAATTTTAAGGTACTGTAAATTCAGAAATTTTTGTGATGTTTTTATTATTGCAAAAATTGTGAAAGCACAATTTGTATGCATAAATTCCTGTAATCGTAATACCGTAAATTGGGAAATTTTGACGTCTGGATATTTTGGCGGCTTTCTCTCGAAAGGCATGTGTTTTATTTTGGTGTGTGTAATTTTGGTGCTTTGTCCAATTGATATGTTTAATTTTGGAACAACAGTAGTGAGCAAGCTCATTCATATTTGCCTTTATTTTCCCGTTTATTGACGATATATCATTGAATTTCTCAAACTAGAAACACGACAAAGTTAAGTTAATGAAGGAATCGGATATGGATGCAATTGCAAATAATTCGGTATATCGTGGTTTAAAGCTGAAAGAAAATATGAAATAAAATCTTAAACAAAAAAATTATTTTTTAAATAGATTATTTATTTTTTACAAATATCATATGAAATAAATTTTAATAATCTCTATTGCAGTACATGTTAATCTATTGACAATCAAGGATTTAAATTTTAAATCTTTATGCCTCTGGCAGTACATGTTAATTAATTGAAGATAAAGGATTACCAGGAGTTTTGGTATTCTAATTACCAATAACGGCGTCTAATCAGCAATAGCCTGGCATATGTATGACATGTGTGAATAAAAATTCATGTTGTGTTTTCTTAACAATTTCAGAAGATTGACAATTAAAAGTAAAAATTATATAGTGTTGTCAAATTATACCAATTCTTTATTTGCAGATTTGGCTATGTATAGAATTGAAGGAAATATACGGAAGATATAATAACATAAAATATTTTCCCCAACAATTAATATTACGATATTGTCGTAACGGTACACGATTTTGGCGTTTCATTTTTTAGTGTTTGCTTTATTTTCGTGTGTTTAATTTTGGCACTTTCATTGGAGGCACCAAATAAACCAAAATAAAACTACAACCAAAAAAACCCAATTTACGGTAGTTAACAGTTGATAGTAACTAAATTAAATATACAATAAAATTTCCTGGAGAAAGTTAAATATAAAAAAGAAGATGTGGTATGATTGCCAATGAGACAACTATTTACAAGAGACCAAATGACACAGAAATTAACAACTATAGGTCACTGTACGGTCAACAATGAGCAAAGCCCATACCGCAAAGTCAGCTATAAAAGGCCCTGAAATGACAAATGTAAAACAATTCAAACGAGAAAACTAACGGCCTAATTTATGTACAAAAAATATGTAACACAGCAACAAATGACAACCACTGAATTACAGGCTACGGACTTGGAACAGACACATACATACAGAATGTGGCGGGGTTAAACATGTTAGTGGGATCCCAACCCTCCCCCTAACCTGGGACAGTGGTGTAACAGTACAACCTAAGAACGAACTATAAATATCAGTTGAAAAAGGCTCAACTCATCAGATGGATACAAATAGAAATACATCTAACAAAAACACAGAGTGGACGTGGCCAGGTACTTGTACATCCCAACAACAAAAAGACACTAAGTACAGATCTGAGAGTACTCGCAGTTACTGACAGCTAGTTCAAAGCCAATAACAACTAATAAAAAAATCATGCATCTAAGACTAAATTATCAATCAGTACACATCCAACATCCAATGGATTTAGTGTAAAGACGTCATAAACAGTCAGAGAAATTTATGACCTTGTGCAATGCCAAGATACAGGTATCAACAAATGTTCATTTTTTCAAATTTCGATAAAAAAAATAGATTTGATTTTGATTTTTGGTGTTTTAATGCCACTTTTAAGCACCGCTTTTGGGCTATTTCGTGGTGGCCAGTTTTTATTGGTGGAGGAAGCTGGAGTGCCTGGAGAAAAAACCACCGACCTTCGATAGGAAAACTGACAATCCTAGTCAATTAAGATTGCAGTCGAGTGCACCCGCACGAGCGGGGTTCGAACTCACAACCTCAGTGTTGACTGGCTAGTGATTACAGTAGTAACTACTTAGACCACCCAGCCACCGAGGCCCCTAAAAAAAATAGATATCCATGATGTAAGGTAAGTCAATGTAATTATTCTCCAGAAAACTTAGGTTGTTTAATGGTAAATCCATGCTAAATTGTATCTTCTGCTTAACAGTATACTAAAAAGCAGATGTGGTATGATTACTAATGAGACAACTGTCTACCAAAGACCAAAGAACAAGAATGTAAACAACTACATGCCAAGATGGCCTTGAGTAATGAGTAAAACCCATCTATCTACCATAAGTGAGTAACAACTATCACCCATTCATCATCTTAGCTAGCTTTTGGATGTTTTGTCAAAGTCAATCTTTATTATGATTCAAATATTTTATTCATGTATGTAATACATGTACATGTAAGTAACTTTTGATCTTAAGGAAATCCTAAAGATGGTCAGACATGTGAACTTTCATTTTTATCGTCTGAAAACAAGCGAAACATAAACCTACCTGGCATCATTTTATATCCTTGTCTTTCTGCACCATGTCTCAGTATGTATGATAGTGATTTTGATAGCTGGAAGTCTGATTTTTCTCCCTATAAGAATTGGGTAAAAAATGTTTGTGAAATAATATTGATATTCATATATAACATATAAAACTAAAATATTATATTGTCTACGTTTTCCTTCAAATTAAAGATATAATGTATCTAACATATATACATAAATAATATAAAAGAAAATGAATTTCTTTGTAAAAAAAATTTTCTAGGCAGTTATTGCTTAAAATGTTTGCACCACATATGAATATTGGAGCCGTGAAATTCAAATGACCAGCATCTTGTGAGATATGATTTTTATCTAAATGACAAATTTCACCAAAGCCTTTGATCTCAGACTTTTATATTGTTATTTAAAGAGGCATTAGCTTCGAGATATAGAAAAAAATAAAATATGATTATTTTTGTTCAATCATTGATGAAAGAGAAATAGTGAAATAATAATTCGCTTTAAGCAGCCAGTTTGGTTCAGTTTTGTCAAAATAAGCAAAGAAATATCGCTAATGAATTATTCACTTGCAAGTGAATAAATTGACCTCATTAAATCCGTATTCATGTCAACTTAAACTGAACCCTTTAGCTAGAGATGGGTTAGCATGAACTAGGTGTGTTCAGCTGTGAAAAGGAAATGAATGTCAACATTGGAAGTGGAACAATGGTAAACAATTTGGTCGACTGATTTGATATACTAAAACTCATTCTTGTTCAGGTAAAAACGATTATTAACATGTTGTTAGAACCTATAATATGAAATCAAACAAACTTAGAAAAACACAATTGCACGAGGTTGCTATCTATTTATATCTAAGTTTATGTTTATATCAGGTTATTTGACTATCAGCAGTCTTCGGAAGGTCACCCCGATGGTAAATTAGATGGCGTCTAGACTAAAATACACACGAAATACGGACACATACTATCGTGTTTATGCATCGTAAATTGTTTATTTTAGACTTTTTTTTAAATTTGGATATACGTTTTAGTATGTTATAAGTCAAATATGACAATTCAAAACGGTGAACATGAATTTGACAGCTAATGCCCCTTTAATAAATTATATATAAATGTGTGTGTGCTGTATATGACCCTTTTTGTTGTGTGAGCAGTGTGTGTGAGTAAAAGCTAGTTAAGATTTGTTTTCTAAGTCCTTGATGCCAACATTACAGGGTGTGTAAAAACTTCAAATTAAAAAAAAATTACTGAAATGACTGTGTCAGACTGCAGTAAATAAAGTCATATAAACATATTTTTAGAAATTACAACAAAACATTACCCTTGATCTTTGCTGTCTCCTGTCATCATTTTGCTGATATCCACCTCTATTATATCCTTGACCTTGCTGGTAACTATCATTGTAATCAGAATGACCTTGATATCGTTGACCTCTACCATAACCATCTCTTCTATCATCATACCTCCGATGCTGTTGACCTCTCTCTTGATTTTGAAAGCCATCTTGATTTCTGTTATATCTCTGATGCTGGTGATCTCTTCCTTGACCCTGAGAGTTGTCCCATTTTTCATAATAGCCCTGTTGTTGTTGCCCTCTACCTCCATTGTTATGTTGATGTCTGTAATCTTGTCCACGTTGGTTTTTATTGTAGAAAACTTGTCCTTGGCCTTGTTGTGCATCCATTTCCATATTTCGATTATCAAAACCTTGCTGGTTTATGTTCATTCCTTGGGAATCTGATGCCACTGTATTTTGGACTTGCTGTGACTGGTTTTGGGTTGTAGCATCAGTAGATGAACTAGGATTCTCCTTTACGCAATGTTCAGGTAGGCTTCTATCTGGACTTGGATCCCTGGTATGATCCTCATCATTTTTGTCTTTTGGCCTCGATCTGTCTTGTCTGTCTGGGCTAGGATCTCTCATATGATCATCATGATTCTTGTCTTTAGGTCTTGCCCTATCATTGAAATTGTTTTGACCTTGTGTCATATCCTCCTGTTGTTGTACATTTGGTCCCTGGTGGTAAGAGGGTTTACCAAATCCACTTCTTTGTGGTTTTTCTTCCTGATTATACTGTCTGTTGTCCTGTCTGTAATTGTCTCTTTTATTCCATTGATTACTTTGTCTATCATTACCTCTGTTGTATTGTCTATTACCACCTCTATCATATCCTCTACCTGTACCACCACCTCCATCATATCCTCTACCTCTATAACCACCTCTTTGATTTCTGTCCCCGCGTCCTCTCCAAGAACCAGCCTCTTGGTGCTCATAAGCTCTTTGTCCACCTGGTTGATCCATGAAAAAAGGAAATGCTAACCTCTGAAAATATCTAGTACGCCACGTCGTGATTTTTCAAAATTTTAAACATGCAAATGGAACTTCCATAAATGCAACTTTCACTTTCACTTTACTTTCAATCGAGATCAAATCTGTAATTTCGTTTTGGAATTACTATTTTATACTGTGTATTTTCATATACAATTTGTATATAAAGAAAACATTGCCTAAAGTTATCTTTAAAATACACACGACTTTCACTTTAGTATATCTTGTTTGGACTCTTGGAAACAAAATTTTAACGGAAACAGTGAAAAAGGGAGATAATGTACTTTCATTTTCGGTTTTCCGAAAGAAATATCACTACAGACCAAATTTCAACGTAAATATTCATATTTAGTAATGACCAAAAACGACCTTAAAACAGCAGCAAAGTGCATTTTTTTTTTCAATTCCTGCACCATGACGTTGTCATTTTTTCTTCGATTTGTAAGTTTTTAATGTCCCCATGGTATCTCCCTCCCTTTTTTTGTGGATACCATAATTAAAATCTAATATTAATATATTATGCCATTCAAAGTAAAAGTGCCTGCTGTTGACTGTCAGCTAAATTGATATGTTATAAAGTTTATGTGTAGATTTCCGATACCATAATAATTAGTCCTCTGAATTAATTTTATGTGTCAACTGTCGTACAATGTACAAATATCTAAAAGAACTACATCAATTTGGTTTTCATTGGTCAAATATTAAGCAAAGTTCCAAAACCTTATCGTATGTTGAGTTTTAAGTGACATCTTAGTTCGAAAATATCGCTAACTGTAAATGTTTTCTTATATTACTTGTTTAGATCTGTTCAAATACTTTCAAAACATCAAAATATGATTTTTTTTGTTTTGTTTCAAACATTTATTGAAGCAGCTTCATATTGAAATAAAATTTCGCTATAAGCAGTCAGTTTGGTCCAATTTGGTCAAAATAAGATCGAACACATCGCAAGTTGTATTATTGACTTGCAAGTTTATAATTCAACCCTATTTGAATCATTATTCCTGTAGCCATAACTTGATCTTTAGATTAAAATAGGTTACGTTTGCGCTTAGCATGTTCGGTTATTGTCAAAATGGTAAGAATTTCAACATTTAAAAGTGAAAACGGAGCCACCGGAAAAAATCTTTGACTGATGCGGACCACAAGAACTCATATATAGGTAAAACGATGATTTACATTTTTTTCAATAATATGATATTAAATTAAACAGACCTGGAAAATGGTAATTACACAATTCCACATGCTTGTCTGTCTATTCTTATTTATGTTTACCTCGTATCAATTGACTATCAGCTATCTTCGAAGGTTATCTCGATGGGTAATTATCTGGCGTCTAGTCTAAAATACGCTAAAAATGCTGATACATTATAACGAGTCCATGCATGTTAATTGCTTCGTTGGGAACTATTTTGTACGTAAATGTGTTTGTAATAAATCAAACAGGAGAATTGAAGTCAAATTGGTGATTAAACCTGAAAATGTTCAATATAGAAATTGTGAAGAATTGACAGAATGTGAAATTTGGTTTAAAAAAAAGATACTCATAGTCTGTCTCATACCACACTAGTAATACCTTAAAAGCTGTGCCTTAAGTTAAATTTTTTATCACAGTATCTTTTACAAATTTACTATGTGGATGATACGTTCTATTCAGAGAAAAAAAACTTACAGGTTTTGAGGAAAAACTTTTAAAATTAATCATTCACTGCGATGTTAACATAGCCATTTCGTTGTAGGACGAAATAATTTACTTGAATACTTTTAGGCCTGATCGATACAAAATTATGATTCCAACAACATAAATAGACGTGTTATACACCGTTTTGTGGATAATTTAATGTAGATTTACTACATTATAAGTTTAGTGGGATAGACAACCGCGGAAGCGAAATACAACGATATGACTTTGCGGATAACTATTTTGTATCCCCCGGAATAGATAACAAACTATCCATATATTGGACGTTGTATGCCATTTCTTAAATATGAATACGAACGGTATTTGAATATATCAGGAGATTCAATGCGCATGTTTGATTAAATTAATTAGTTTCCGGTAAAAATGGTGAGGAATGAATTTGGGATTTAGACAAAAAAAAATATACAAATTCTCTCAATGACAGTGCCCTTTCTTGATAACAACATCTCTTATTTAAACATAGACGTTATTTTCGAAAAATCAAGCGTTTTAAAATTGATTTGGCGACAAAGAAATTGAGAAAACAGAGTCCGGCTACCGATGATTTGACAAAATTGAAAAAAAAACTAAATTATTCCGTTTACAAGGAATACAGATAAACTAAAATTTTTGAGATCCCTTACATTTTTTCTTCTTCGTGGGATGGTAAAAAAACTATTGTTTATACATGGAGCCCAAGTGGTAGCAAATGAAACAAATTATATCGAGCAAATTGTTTGATTTTATAGTCCGATCATTTGTTTTCCTACTATATATGCATGCTTTTTCAATGCCAATGGAAATTGTGATGTCACAATGCATTCTAAACCAATATTATGAGGATACTTTAATTTTTGTAGCGAGCTGCAACATCGAAAATTCTAGAAGCTTGCAGTTGCAGCACTTGCACTGCATTCAAACTCAAAAACAAAGAAGGCTTGATATTCATCCATTTATTTTATTCATATAAAGTATTTGTTTGAAGAAATAACTTGGGGAGAATGACTTGAACTCAACGATGCTTGTTAAAACATTTGTTTTAAAGCGAAAGCTAGAATCGTTCAGTATGTTATTGCGATAATGAAGAGTAAAGCCCAAATGCAAATCTGCAGATATTCTGTATTTTGTAGGTGTCGCTGTTGACACTGGATTGTCTCTCTTGTAAATATTAAAGTCTTGCGTGTACAATTTTCACTCTGGTAAACAACTCACTTGTACTTTAATTATACATTTAGGTGGCAACTGTATTAAAATATTAAGAAACAAAAAAGGCAAAAATATGATTTAACATTTTTAGTAAAAAAAAACTAAAAAATATCTTAATCAAAATCAGCGTGACTCGTTGATAAAATCACCCAACAATCATATTAGTATTTCTCTAAGAGACAGAGGAGTTTTCGTTTTTTTCTATTGTAATATTTTACAGTGTGTCTATGTTGAAATGTTACACTATTGTTTCCGGTTTTGTGAAGGTTGGGGCCTATTAAAACCCTTACGTTTAAACCCGCTACATTTGTTTTCACCTGTCCTAAGTCAGGAACCTTGATGTTCAGTGGTTGTCGTTTGTTGATGTGGTTCATAAGTGTTTCTCGTTTTTTAAAAGATTAGACTGTTGGTTTTCCTGTTTGAATGGTTTTACACAAGTCATTTTTGGGGCCCTTTAAAGCTTGCTGTTTGGTATGAGCCAAGGCTCCGTGTTGAAGGCCGTACTTTGACCTACAATGGTTTACTTTTACAAATTGTGACCTGGATGGAGAGTTGTCTCATTGGCACTCATACCACATCTTCTAATATCTATACAAAGTTTACAAACTATTTTGTCTATCAAAAGAGCTGTTATCTATTGTAAATAAATAATAAGGGTCAGTAAATCTTCAATTTCTGGCAGTTTTGAATGCTTGATGTATTTTCATGGGCAATCTAACAAAAATCTTTTTCAAGTGCTATATACATGTAAAAACAAGGAGATGTGGTATGATTGCCAATGTGACAACTATCCACCTGAGTTCAAATGAAGTGAATCCAATGAAAGCAATACTGTCATCAATTACAAGAAAGTTTGTTAAGTTGCAAAGTATTTCCAGTTTCACATGTGAAATAAACGTTTGACAATTCTTGTTACAGGGTCAGCAACAGTCAGGAGGACAGGGAGGTCAAGGGGACAAGAAAGATGACAAGGTAGGTCAGAGGTCATTGTTACAGTCACAATGATCTAGTAAGATAGTCATTATTCCTTATTTGTATTGAACAACTTTAACACTCTGAAGTTTATGCTACAGCAAATTCTCTTTTCTAGTCTTATCAAGAATTTCAGAAAGATTAAGAGCTAGCAATGAAGCTTATTGGGTTGTTTTAAACCTGAAGATTGAAAGGTATAATCATTAAAGATTACTGTTGGAATACATATAGTAGGTTGAGAGACTTGAGTTAGTGTTAACGGTATTTTATTCAAAATGAAGTGCATCTATGGATGTTGTTTCAATAAGTTAGGATAGTCTTAGTTTTTGTCGAGCCTGCGACTTATGTCACAAAAGCGAGACATAGCGGTCCTACACAGTGTTCTCCCCAGATATTTCATTTAGCATCCTGGTAAACACGGGAAATTGAAATACCATCTTGTTTCTATAAATCATAGCATCACATCCATAACATAATCTATAAGAAAACCACTTCAGATAGCATCACATTTAAGATTATAGCATCACATTACCATGATGCTAAAAGGCCCTGGGGAGAACACTGCCTACATTCTATCGGCAGCGGCGGCGTCCACAAATATTCACTCTGTGTTTAAAGTTTTTGAAATTGTATTAACTTTTTTAAACTATCTTGGATTTCTACCAAACTTGGACAGAAGCTTGTTTATGATCATAAGATAGTATCCAGAAGTAAATTTTGTGAAAAAAAATCCTGGTTTTCCGTATTTTACTTATAAATGGACTTAGTTTTTCTGCCAGTTAACATTACATTCACTCTGTGGTTAAAGTTTTTAAAATTTTCATAACTTTCTTAAAATATCCTGGATTTCTACCAAACTTGGACAGAAGCTTGTTTATGATCATAAGATAGTATCCAGAAGTAAATTTTGTAAAAATTTATTTCCTGTTTTTCCGTACATTAATTATAAATGGACTTAGTTTTTATACGACCGCAAAAAAAAATTTGTGGTCGTATATTGGTATCACGTCGTAGTCCGAAGACACTTGGTTTCTGGACAATAACTTTAGTATTAGTAAATAGAAATCTTTGAAATTTAAACACAAGGTTTATAACCACAAAAGGAAGGTTGGGATTGATTTTGGGGGTTATGGTCCTAACCGTTTAGGAATTAATGGCCAAAAAAAGTGGCACAAATAAGCATTTTTCTAGTTTTCAGACAATAACTTGTGGAACGGTGTATGGATCTCTCTGAAATTGTATAACAAGTTTCCATACCACAAAGGGATGGTTAGGATTGGCTTTGGGGGGGGGGGGGGTAATGGCTCAAACCGTTTAGGAATTAGGGGCAAAAAAGGGGGAAAAAACAAGGGTTTCCTTGTTAATGGACAATCACTTTTAAGTACAATGTTAAATTTGGATTACCTCCCTTACACTGCTTTAAAATTAGGCCAACCTTAGAAATATGTTTGTTTGCAGTTTTCGGACTGTACCTTCAGACTGAAGGGTCGGTAGGTAGGAAAAATATTTTATTTTATCAGCCAAAATATGGTTTAAACAAGCAGTTACACAAACCAAGTTTCTTGTGAAGAAAAACATTTTAAAACAACAAACACTGAAAACCAACATGAAATGAACAGGTATTTTCAGATAAAAACTTTTTAACCAAAATTGAAACTATAACATGGTGTGATTATCCAATTTATGACATACAAATATGGTACATGTATTATTAAATACTGGAACACTTATAAACAAGGATGACTAGAATTGTTTTTAAGAAATTGCTCACTGACATATGCTTCTTGACTAGAAAGTTTTCATGAGTAGAATATTTTCATCAGAAAAATGTAGATATTAAAGAATCAAACGACAATGTAAGAGTGTTATCAATAAAAAAAATTAACAATTGAATCTTCCTCAATCAAAAAAAAAAAAGCAACTTAAAAAAGACAAAGTTGACTGTTTTCATATATCTAACAATATTAAATTATATGTAATAAGGTTATATGTTGATGTAAAAAAAAATTTAGACTTCAGGGTGAAATCAATAGCACCCCTTTAAAAGTAAATGGTCTGTACTGAAATGTTTTGACTGCATAAAAAAATTGACAGCATAGCTCCTATGGATACGTTTTAATTCAATTCACACAAGCCACACTGTTTGGATATATTTAATATTGTAAGAGGGAGAAGAATTGCAATGAGTGGGGTATACCCCTTATCCTAAAGGAGCATACTCATTGCAATAGAAGATAGATTTAGTATAGAGAAAGTATATTTATTTTTCAAGTCAACCATTCATTTTCTCTACATCTTTGTGTAGTTTCTGTGGCTTCTTATAGTTTTGGCATTGTCTATCGATCATAAATTTCAAATGCGCCCTTCCTCCGGACAGGCGTGTTTACAGGTATCCATGAATCATGGAGGAGTGGTTTCATCTTTGTCTTCTTCACAACGTTTAATAGAACTATGGCATACTTCAGGCTGCTGTGGAATTGTTTAACCACTGATATTGGTTCCATAAAGTCAGGCTCAAAAGATTCTGTACCCGATTTGTTTGGGACAGAAACTGTTATCATGTCGGTTTTATGAATATCCACTGAATCATGCGTTCTCAAATCGTCAATGATATCATTGAAGACATCATTCCATGTGCAACTCTTTCTGAATCTGTATAAACAGTTTACTATTAAACTTTTTTGTTTGTTATCTGTTTTAATATTGACAGAAGACAACGGTGTAAAGTACTCCTCCATGACTTCATGGATACCTGTAAACAATCTCCATGTGCTTTATCATTAAACAGTTCCATGAACACTTGACTGGAAGGTAAGAAAAACCGAACTCGCAACGTGTAATCGACCCAGACTTTAAATCAATTCCTGAAACGACCCGAAGTTCCAGATTGGGTCAATAGAAAAATAAAAATAATTTCTTCAAATTAAAAGCAATAAAATTTTCAGTCAGGCGAATTTTTGAGGGTCGGTCGGTAAACTGCAAACAAACAATATTTTAATTTAAGCCTTATGTATAAAGAAATTTTGTATTGTCTTGAGGTGATTAGCTGTCAATTCATTTTTAGAAGTTACTAATAAAAATGCTGATTAAAGATATATTATTTTTAGACATGATTATGTATGTCATTTTCTATTTTAAGACTTTTATGATGTATTCAAATGGGTAATTATGGTTTCAAACTCCATTGTAAATTTAAATTGAGATAATGACCATATCTTGAGGGAAAGTTTTTTTTTTTTTTTTGGAAAAAGGGGAAAAGGGGGGGGGGGGGGGTAAAACAGAAATTGTGGGGGGGGGGACAATTTCTCATTACAGATTTCAGAAATTAAAAAGAAAATTTCTTCAAATGTTTTTTTTTTTTTGCAAAAAAAATGGGTGGGGTGAAAAAAAAATTTCCAAAATAAAAGGGGGTGAATTTTATTTTTTGGAGGGGGGAATTTGCAACAGCATAGTGTATTGCACAAAAGCAAAAAAAAAAGGGGGTAAACATTTTTTTGGGGGTGGGGGGGGGGCAATTCGCAACAGCATAGTGAATTGCACAAAAGCAAAAAATTGAATATAAATTCAAATCATATAACCAATTCTAAGTTCTTTGACTACAGTTATTCTGTGTCAGAAACCTATTATGTGTCAAACATTTAATTTCAGTCCAAATTCAGACCTGTATCAAGCAGGAATATTGTGTCCATTTTTGCCCCAACTTTTCAGGGTTGGACCTCTGGGGTCGTATCCAGCTGCGCTCGGCGAAGCAATTTATTCTTCCAGTTAACATAACATACAGCCTGCAGTTAAAGTTTTTTAAAACATTTATTAGATTCATAAACCATCCTGGATTTTTACCAAACTTGAACAGAAGCTTCTTACAATCAAAAGATAGTATCTAGAGGAAAATTTTTAATTATTTTTTCCCCATTTTTGTTGAGCCTGCGACTAACAGCAAAAGTAGGCGAGACACTGGGTTCAGTGGAACCCTTACAAATTTTTTGTATGCTGAACCACTTGGACGTAAGTGTAGGCATAATGAAGCTTGACATGTTGATTTGGATGTTATGATTAGGCTGTATTAAGAGGAAAGGAATTGTTGTATTATTACTTTGAAATATCAATAGATGTTCCTCATATTTATACCCCGCTTTAAAAAAGTGAGAGTATAATGTTTAACCACTGTCCGTCCATCCGTCCGTCCGTCCCATGAATATTTTTTTCGTTGCATCTTTCTCAGGAACTACATAACAAGAATTTCTGAAATTTGGTTTCAGGGTTTATATGAGTCAGCTGTACCGTGTGATGCGTTTTCAGATTCATTCCTCAACAACTTCCTGTTTACCGAACACTTACATCATTTTACACATGACATCCAAATTGAAAATTTTCTTCACATTTTTCTCAGGAACTACATTACAAGGATTTCTGAAATTTGGTTTCAGGGTTTATATGATTCAGCTATACAGTGTGATGCGTTTTCAGATTCATAACTCAACAACTTCCTGTTAACCGAACACTTACATGTTTTTACACTATTAAATTATCCAGTTGCGGGGGGGGTATCATCAGTGAGCAACAGTTTCACTTGTTTTGAGCGTATTGGAATTGATAAGTTTCTATCTTTTCTGTTAATGTTTGACATTTATGAAGAAATATTCTAGTGGTCTCATTTTGTTAGGTGCAACTTACGGGTACCATTATATATAAAAAGTTGAATGCAGGATATGTTTAAGGCAAAAATGTGATTGTTTTGCAAAATTTGACAAAGCATTTGATACATGCAGTGATGGATTGCTGTAATTACCTAAAGACTTTATAAATGGTTTTTAGAAATATTTCATATACCCCTTTGACCCTTATCCCTTTTGCAGATTAAATACAATATCCTTTTAAGCTTGTGTCAATGTTGCATTCCTTTGAATATCGATGACAAATTATTATTTTTTTAACTATTTATTTAGGAAAAGAAAAGGAAGTATGAGCCACCTATTCCAACTCGTGTTGGTAAAAAGAAGAAGAAGATGAAGGGACCAGATACAGCCAGCAAACTCCCACAAGGTAAAACCCGACTACAGCTGATCATAGATATATTATAACACTAAAAAACATGTGATATGCATGTTATTTTGTGATCTTTTAGATTTGCTTTCAGATATTTAATTCTCAACTTTAAATGTTGTTTGGAAAAAAACAATAATTCACAGAACAGCTGGAACCATTCACTTTAGACCATGAATTTTTAATGGTCAAAAAATAAAATAGCTTTGAAGATAAAAAAAAAATCATTTGATGTTAGCTTTGCAAGATGGAGTAACAGTCTAAGAATATTATTTATTTATCAACTTAAAGTTTACAATAAAATTGTGCCAAAACTATACTGCAGTATTGGTAACTTCTCAGCTGGTACCCTTAGGGACTGACAGTCTACAAGCAAGATTACCAACATACAATTTTTAGAATTCTGTATAAAGCAGATCAATATTAAGAGAATAACTGAAATCCTAATTAATATTATAGGCTTGATATTTTTAATTTTTAATAGTCACACCACACACAAGATGTCGACTGAAGTTATTAAAACTAGAAAGAATAAAAGATTATTTACTGATGGAGGAAGAATTTATCCAGAATCAAGAAAGACTGAAACCTCAGGAAGAAAAACAAGAGGTACTGCCTCTGTCTGTGAAGGAATGACAAAAAAAAAAGGAAAAAATTTACCACCCAATACCTAAATTAAAATAAGGAGATATGGTATGATTACCAATGAGACAACTATCTACCAGATCAATAAAAAGCACAAAACCAGCTAATAAAATACAAAAGACACAAAATTACTGATTTGAAAATACTCACGGTTGCTGAAAGTAAGTTCAATGCCAATAACAACAGTTAAAAAAAATCATGTTTCCAAGACAAAATATCAATTAGTACACATCCAATGAATTTAGTGTATAGACGTCATGGGCAGTCATGGGAAACATGACCTTTTGCAATACCAAAACATGTGTCAACAGGATGTAGAATTGTAAGCGTTAATAAATGTTAATCGATACATATTTAGTTATGGTTTAATTTATTGATAACAAAACAATGTTAGTTCCAGCATTAGTATGTATATGAAATATTTGCATTGAAAAAAATCAACATGCATCTACAAAAAACACCACATTTTTATTCTCATGATGAAATTTAGCCAGTAATTGTAACCTGCAAAACACATCACTTCCATATTTTAGTTGTAAAATATTGCATTATTTTCTATGTAGGAAGAGAGAACTAAAGTTGATGAGTTGAGAGGATCACCAATGTCTGTAGGATCTTTAGAAGAAATCATTGATGATAATCATGCTATTGTCTCCACATCTGTGGGTAGTGAACATTATGTCAGTATTCTGTCCTTTGTTGATAAAGACCAATTAGAACCTGGATGTTCTGTCCTATTAAATCACAAGGTAAGAAATAGTTGGATTCTGTACCGATGACACCTCAGAGTAGAAGGGAGAGGGTGGAGTTAAAATTCAAATTGACAGTGATTGTTCTATTTTGCTTAATCACAAGAAGAATAGTTTGATTCTTGAATAGGAGATAAGACCAATTAGATTCTAAGATACATACTTTGTATGACATTTATGTTTAATACATAACGGAGACGGGGAAGTAATGGGGTTCTGCTTCAGCATTTGTTCTACAAAGTAACTAAATACCAACATAAACATAGATATTTCTAAAAAAAATTTAACATTATGATGGACTAAACATTGGGCAAATCTTTAATGTTCTTTATTGATTAGGCAACAAAGACAATATTTGATTTTGTTTGCAAGGAAAAATCTCTGATATGTGGCGTTACTTTTTACATGCTGAACTTATTAGCTGATCATCAGGACTTGAAATCGAGCTTACACAGGGAAATTTCACTCACATGAATCATGTGAATTTCACCTCAAACGAGCTTATACGTGAAACTCACATGAATTTCACATGAAAATCAAATGAATTTTTGTCATGTGTAATTTTCGTGAATTTTCAAAATAAAATTATTCAAATAACATCTTTATATTCAAATTTAGTTATAAAAATCATGAAAAATACCAATTTTTTTTTTTTTTGGGGGGGGGGGGGGATTTTTAGGTAAGTTTCACGTATAAGCTTGTTTGAGGTGTCAGAATTTCACATGAAATTCACGTGAACAAAATTTGCTTGTGTATAGAGACATCAATTTTGATTGCAGTTTGGTTTTAGGAAGACATTTATTGAACACAGGTCAAATTAATGAATATATTCATGTTGGGATGCAAAAGCTTAGTTTAAAAAGAATATCACTTTCTATAGGGGTTCTGTTTATAATGGAGTCATTTTCTTTTTAAATTATGGTAGATTCTTTTCATGGACAAGGACCATTTGGAAACTGTGACCAATAAAGATTTATGTTGAAGTTGATGAACTATTAGGTGAAATAGATCAGTAACTACTCACTTTGAGTTACTGTTAATAGGGCACATGTTGTAGTTATTATCCTATTGAAAAACAAAGATCCTACAGTCATGACAGTCACTGCAACCTACTTAGTGATACTATTTATAGGTGCATGCTGTGGTTGGTGTCTTAGGAGATGATACAGATCCTATGGTAACTGTAATGAAATTAGAAAAAGCTCCACAGGAAACTTACGCTGATATTGGAGGTCTTGATCAACAAATTCAAGAAATCAAGGTAATTACATTGATTTCTTAAGAAGCAGATACCCTGCTAAATAGCATCTATTTCAGGATTTTTGCATTCAACTTTTTATACAACCGCAAAAAAAATTTTGTGGTCGTATATTGGTATGACGTTGGCGTCGTCGTCGTCCAAAGACACATTAGTTTTCGCACTCTAACTTTAGTTTAAGTGAATGGATCTCTATGAAATTTTACCATAAGGTTCAATACCACAAAAGGAAGGTTGGGATTGATTTTGGGGGTTATGGTACCAACAGTTAAGGAATTATGGGCCAAAAATAAGCATTTTTGTAACTTCCAGACATAACTTGTGTGTAAGTGTATGGATCTCTCTGACATTGTACCACAAGGTTCCATATCACAAAAGGAATGCTGGGATTGATTTTGGGGGTAATTGCCTCCAAATTTTAGGAATTAGGGGCAAAAAACAAGCATTTATCTAGTTTCATGACAATAACTTGTGTGTAAGTGTATGGATCTCTCTGACATTGTATCACAAGGTTTCATATCACAAAGGGAATGCTGGGATTGATTTTGGGGGTAATTGCCTCCCACTTTTAGGAATTAGGGGCCAAAAAGGGGCAAAAAACAAGCATTTTTTTAGTTTCATGACAATAACTTGTGTGTAAGTGTATGGATCTTTATGAAATTGTACTACAAGGTTCCCTATCACAAAGGGAAAGCTGGAATTGAGTTTGGGGTTAATTGCCCAAAAAGTTTAGGAATAAGGGGCCAAAAATAAGCATTTTTCTAGTTTCCAGACAATAACTTGTGTTCAGGTGTATGGATCTCTCTGAAATTGTACTGCAAGGTACCATACCACAAAGGGAAGGCTTGGATTGATTTTGGGGGTAATTTCCACAAAATTTTAGGAACTAGGGGCCATAAAAGGGCCAAAAAACAAGCATTTTTCTTGTTTCAGGACAATAACTTGTGTTCAAGTGTATGGATCTTTATGAAATTGTACTGCAAGGTTCCATATCACAAAGGGAAAGCTGGGTTTGAGTTTGGGGGTAATTGCCCTAAACGTTTAGGAATTTGGGGCCAAAAAGGGGCCAAAAAACAAGCATTTTTCTAGTTTCCACACAATAACTTGTATTCAAGTGTATGGATCTCTCTGAAATTGTACTGCAAGGTACCATACCACAAAGGGAAGGCTGGGATTGAGTTTGGGGGTGATGAATCATAAGGGGGTTCAAAAAATTTGGGTGGGATTTTTTTTTTTCTTTAAAATTTTCCATTTTAAATTGGTTATTTCTGATTTATATATAAAAGCAAATAATAATGATATGGTTTGAATAGGTAAATTAAAAATTTTTAAGTTCTTAGACCACTTTCATTCTGTGTCAGAAACCTATGCTGTGTCAAATATTTAATACAATCCAAATTCAGTGCTGTATCAAGCTTGAATGTTGTGTCCATACTTGCCCCAACTGTTCAGGGTTCGACCTCTGCGGTCGTATCAAGCTGCGCCACAGCGGAGCATTTTATTTTTTTCAGTAATAATAGTATAAATTCAATAAGTCAATAACAATTTTTGGATTGCTGCATTAATTTGAAATAATGCTCAAATGGAATGGGTCTTTTAGCTCAACCCCAAAGAATACAATAAAAACCAAGCAATGAAGATACATATAACGACTATCCAATTAAAATGAATGTGGGAGGGTAGGAACTAAAGTTTTATTTTTGAACATTGGTCGTTGTTCATTTATGGTTTACATATATCTGATGTATGCAGAATTACTCATTGAAAGCATGTTGGTTCCTGGGGATTTTAGAAGTCTCTTCCTATCCTCTCACCTGAATTTCAATGGAAAAGTCTTAATCTATAAATGAGTTAACATCAGATGATTACTTTTTCTTTGATAGGAATCAGTGGAGTTACCTCTCACACACCCAGAATATTATGAAGAAATGGGGATTAAACCTCCTAAAGGTGTTATATTATATGGTCCACCTGGTACAGGTAAGGAGATTTATATTTTCTCTTCATATCATTAATAGACGGGCTTCACATTACAAGAATCAATACTGTAAATTCAGAAAGTACAAATCTGCTAGATTATTTATTGTGATTTCAGGAATTTGTGCATGCTATAATGCTATCCAAAGTTAGAATGCAAGTTTTTTCATTTTTGAGAAATCGATCCCCTCACAGTTTTCACAATAAAAATATTGCACAAATTGATGAGTTTGCGGTAGTTTAAAAGTATAAATTCTGCTTGTAAGAGTTTTTTCATCACGAATCAGGGAAGAAATATGGCAAAAAGGTGCGGTTTTGGAATTATAAGTTTCCTGCATTTAATGTGACAAAACATTTTTACATCACCCTTTAAGAAAATAAAGACACTCATAATGGACTAGTTATTATCTCCCCTTAAGAAAGAGGGCTTGTCTTGAAACAGACTTCATGACATTTGATGAACATAAGCTAAACGCTGATGTTGATAGTACTGTTTGCACATGTAGTCTTGACAGCTTGTAGAGTTCCAGTTTCAAGTTTTTCCAAACTTCAAAATGTATTAAAGGATAAATTATAGCAGGAAATAATTAAAATATGATCTAAAAAGTTTAAAAACCTTTTGCATAACACTGTAAAGGTAAATATATTTTTTCACGATAGAAGTGTCATTGTTGAATCTGCAATTGTTAATTGGATTCTGTCAAAGTTGTGGATCTGACAATAATAATTTTGATATTTCATTGCAGGTAAAACTCTGTTAGCTAAAGCAGTGGCCAACCAAACATCAGCAACATTTTTAAGAGTTGTAGGATCTGAGTTAATACAAAAATATTTGGTAAGTGAAGCGTTTGTATTTTTGGTATTTGAATATACTTTATTTGTATTTAGATATATTGATATTCATAGAAATGTAATATATATACATACCTACTTGTGTTTTCTATTCAATAAAAATTTGAAGCAACAAATTTTCTTTTAAAGTTGACCAATTGTTGATTTGCAGAATTCTTAGAAAAATACATTTCTGAGCTTTTAGATTTTGGAATCTCCGAAAGTATAATTTTTCCCTTTTTAACCCCAAAAAAAATAATTTGCACTGTGGATGGCTTATTTCAACTATAATGAACTACTCTAGTAAAGGTTATCAAAAGTGATGCAGTTTAACAAGTTTCCTTTGCTTTTGGTTCAGTATGATCACATTCTGTATGAAGGATAGTTATTTAATCATTTTCAACGTAACATATCTTAAAATTATAATAAATAATTATAAAACGGGCCCTTTAATTGGATTTATTAAAGTATTTGTATTCATATTGGGATAAAAACTTGTGAGTTTTGCTTTTGACCACTATCAAACATATTGCAAGTTTCGGAAATGAAAAATGTTGGTACTTGACCAAACTGGAAGAGTAACATGTAGCCAAATAGTTGAGGAATGCCTTAAAAGAGCAATTTTATACTGACATTCAAAATAAGACCAAAAATATGGGTTTTAGAATAATGTGTTGCTTTCCCCATTGGCACTCAGTATATTTAAACGGCAAAAATGTTTTTGTTCGTTATTGTTTGGCAAACAACAAATAAGTTATACTTAAGAATTTTCTTAATTTCATAAAAAAAGAGAAATACAAATTTGAATAATTCATATTGCTAATTATGTTAATTATGAACTAAAGTAAGTAAATAATTATGACTACTTTAAATTCAGAAATTATTGTGTGCATTTATTATTGCGATTTTGTCATTTTATACTAAAATGCAATTTTTATTTTTGCGATAGTGAAAAAAAAATCTGTATTAATTCTTATAAAAAAATTCAAAATGCGAGTTTAAACTATTGCGATTACAACCCTGTCGCATTTTTCACAATAATAAAAACATCGCAATAATTTCTGAATTTACAGTTATCAGATTTACGATTGACAGTAATACTTTACTTAAGTTGAATCCAGATAATTCTTATTTTGTTCATGTTATTAGTACAGTTTGCAGGAGATAAAAGTAATTGACTAATGTGATCCTTTTATTATTTGTAGGGAGATGGTCCAAAACTTGTGAGAGAATTATTTCGTGTGGCAGAAGAACATGCTCCCTCAATTGTATTTATAGATGAAATAGACGCTGTTGGTACCAAAAGGTGAGTACTTTGATTTAGACTGACAGTAGTGGTACCCAAGGCTTTGAGAAATCAACTGAACATTTGGTCCAGTAAACCATTCTTCTTAACTGGACCAGACTCTCTTTTACTGGACATTTACACATATGATTTGGTCATATTTAAAAATTTTACTGGTCATTTGGTCCAATGATGCATATTGCTGAACTTGACCAAACCAATTTTTACTGGACTTTGCCCAATGTCCGGCGACCTTGGGAATGACTGTGACACAATCAGTGATGAATGTACATTGTAGGAAGGTTGTACATATACTGAAGCTGTGTACTTTTTGATTTTCTTAAATTTTTCACAAAGTTACTAATTGTTGATTTCACATATATGCAACAGGGTATATTTGTGAAGACTGCTTTTATAGGACAATGTTATTTCGGTAAAATCTAGTTTTTCTATCTGTATATCCATTTTGTAAAATGTTTAAAAATGCAGCCATATGTTGTAAGACTGCCACAATCTCCATATTTTTTTAAAGATTTGTACAAGATTTTTTTGGGATCTCACACCATTCAGATTCCACTTTAAAATGCTTTATCTTGTCCATCCTATAAATCATTATTTATTTCAGCCATCAAAATTATGCATGAAAAAAAAAATTAACAAATCTTTCTTGAATAAATGAGATACTTAACAACTTATTGGGTATTCACGTTTTTGCAATTCTATTTTGTTCTATCTTTGAAATAAGGACACTATTTCTTGCACTTGTGTAGGTACAGTGAAACTAATAAAATTTATTATGCCATTAAATTATTGCTTTTACAGTATATGAGTTTCTCTCATGTCTCCTCTACTTCTCTTTTTACCAGAAAGCAAGGAATGACTTGTCCCTTAAGTTTGGTGAATCTTGTCTTTTGATGTTACAATGAATTCATAAGATCTATATATAGAATGATTATAAGAATGTATTTTACAGGTATGAATCAAATTCTGGAGGAGAGAGAGAAATCCAGAGAACTATGTTAGAACTGTTAAATCAGCTGGATGGTTTTGATTCTAGGGGTGATGTTAAAGTGAGTATTGAAAGAGATGTGAGGGGTAGTACAGAAATTAATTCAATTAGTAGCACTAGAAACATGTAGAAACTTCTGACCAGTTTAAGTTTAGATGGGGTGTAAAAATTTAAAAATTTACTTCAATCGTTTTTGTATGAAGTAGCATATTATCAAAATTAACATAAATGGGTTTATCAAGGAGAATATTATTTTTGGTGAAAAGTTTGCTTACGTGAGGGTAGGAATGCCCTTAACCGTCAGGCGTCAAACAGTCATTTTACCATTAACATCAAATTGGTTAAAATAATTATAGGTTACCGTTATTTTTGGAAAGAATTTAACTTGATTCGTAAAAATCAGTTGATTTTTTTATCATCATAGAGAAAATGTACATTTTATCGTCATGCAACAAAAATTACTGTTAATGTGATTTGGCAAGATTTTTTTACCGTTATTCGTCATGGAGGTACCCCATTACGAACGTCTTAACATTGAACAATGACAATACATAACCATACTGTTAGACATACTGTTTGATGTGGTATCAAAATAACATGGAATCATCTTAACTAACAACTCTGATTTACAAATAAACTCAGTTTTAAAGATTTTCATACATAATTATGTATTTGTAATGTTTTGATCATTTTCAGGTTGTTATGGCAACAAATCGAATAGAAACATTAGATCCAGCTCTTATTAGACCTGGAAGAATAGACAGAAAAATTGAGTTTCCTCTGCCAGATGAGAAAACCAAAAGGCGAATCTTTAATATACATACCAGCAGAATGACATTAGCAGAGAATGTAAACATTGATGACTATGTCATGGCAAAAGATGATCTCTCAGGTGCAGATATTAAGGTTAGTAGAATGTTTGTTCAAGTTATCAGTTGGGTCAAGATGTGCAACTCATTTCTGGTAGGTAGTAATGGTAGCCTTTTCTTTGTTTTTCTGTAATTTAGCATACCCTGAAAAGCCCTTTATTGTTGAAATTTAGTTCTTTCTATACATTTGATAACTCCATAGTTTTTACACCTTTATTGTATGGTCCTCTGCTCTTCAAATCAACACAAAGGGTTGAGCTCCGTCACTTGTTAAAAATTGAAACGTGCAATATCACTGCACAGAGATTTTTTGTTTACGTACTATATTTTTGAGGCACATTAGGGATATTGTCATGTTCTGTTATCAAGTACAGTAAAATATTTGTTAAAAAGATATCAGTTGATCTGTCAGGTGCAGATTTCAAGGTCAGTACAAAGTTTGTTATAAGTTATTAGTGGACTATCGTTAAGGTATAATGGAGGAAAAAATGAACTGGAATAATCCTTTTTAAGTTTTCTTATTCATTAATTTGATTTTGAGTAATGATTTGATATATTTTTTTCATAATCATGATAAAAAAAAAAGTATCTAGGTAGAGCCACATTGTCAGTCAAAGGAATTTTAAATAAACCAATGATATCATTAGCCTACTCATTAGCATCTGTTGTCACTAATTTCTTTAGAAATAAAAAAACTGCCATTGAGTGTAAAATGTTCATAGGAAAAATGCATAGAAATAGGAGGCATGTTTATATAGAATGAGAGCTAAAAAAATACACAAATGGTTGATCAATTTTTTCTATTTTGATTATAAACAAAAAAACTCATCAAAGATACCAGGCTTATAATTGAGAAGATGACTGAATAAATTTTTAAATTCTTTAAATATTGCAGGCTATTTGTACAGAAGCAGGGTTACTAGCTTTGAGAGAAAGAAGAATGAAAGTAACAACTGAGGACTTCAAACAGGCTAAGGAAAATGTACTCTACAGAAAGACAGAGGGAACACCAGAGGGACTTTATTTATAGTGACAAAAAAACTTATTTCACGTTGTTTCTTGTAAATTAAAATTTATAAATGATTTAAACATATTTTTTTCCAACTTTTATGGATTAGTATTCACTTTGTCTTTATGGTTATTGATTGTACTTGGTAGTATGATCGACTATTTTGTGCCTCAGCTATTTGACCTAAAAAAGGTATGAATAGACAAGATCAAGTTTGACTCTATAGTTGCAAGGATGGCATAATGTTTTAGACATTGTCATAGTTATCTCCAAAAAGGTAGAAAATATTGTTTTGATAAGTTATGTGTTTAATTAAAGTTGGGTATGCTTAGCATGTCAAAGAGCGATTCTTGTTAAGAAATTGTTGTGGAATTAACAGGAATTGCTGCTTTGATCTATGCAAAAGAGGAGTTTTTTTAACAGGAGAGAAGGGAAATGGTTTTGTGTTGTAATCTTACGTCTCTTTCAGAAATAAATCCCTGGGAGGGTGATAACTCTACTTTGTTTTTATTAACTAAGGTTAAGGTGGGAGACGAGTGCATTTCAACAGTTTAAGTGATTTTTATGAATATTAACAGAAAACAATAAAAATGCTGTTAATTTGCATGGTTCCCCAAAATAAGAATGGAGTTGTATCTAGTAATTTAAAAAAAATATATACTGTTATGATAAACTCCTGTTCAATTAGGACTGTTAAAATTTAAATTCTGAAGCAATAACCTTAGTTAACTTTCCTTATAACTGACTCCATGGTCTATTGTGTGCACTTCAAGTGCTGTAGTTGTATCAAAACAGAGACTTTAAAGTTGGTATTGCTTCTCTGTAATACAATCAGCATGTCCAAATAAGAAGAAAGAGTTGTTGACTGGAAGTCAGAATAATGATTTCAGGTTGGATGACATAAGGTCTGTTACCCTGAGATGTAGCAGATTCAAATTATGACTCAGCTTGTCAAAGTTCAAAGAAGGCTATCTTATATCACATTAGCATGTCCGTGTCCTGAATATGCATGTATTTTTTGCAGTATGATGGGAAGCAGTCAGTCCTCAATCAGATATTTCTTCTAAGCCTTCAGAATAAATCTATTTTGTAAGAGTAAGGATACTACAAAAATAGAAGGTCTGCTTCACATCTTTTTATACTTTTTTGCAGTCGTATATTGGTATGATGTTGGCTTCCTCGTCGTCGTCCTTAGACACATTGGTTTTCGCACAATAACTTTAGTTTAAGTAAATGGATCTCTATGAAATTTTACCATAAGGTTCAATACCACAAAAGGAAGGTTGGGATTGATTTTGGGGGTGATGGTCCTAACAGTTTAGGAATTAGGGACCAAAAAGAGGCCCAAAAAGGCATTTTTCTAGTTTCCAGACAATAACTTGTGTTTTTAAAAGTGTATGGATCTCTCTGAAATTATACCACAAGTTTCCATACCACAAAGGGATGGTTAGGATTGGATTTGGGGGGTTATGGCTCAAACCGTTTAGGAATTAGGGGCAAAAAAGGGGGAAAAACAAGGGTTTCCTGGTTAATGGACAATTTAAAAGTAGTGTAAGGGAGGAAATCCAAAAACAAAATTGTACAATGTTGTATTACCTCCCTTACACTGCTTTTAAACTATCTATTTAGGACTTTTATGATGTATTTAAATGGGTAATTATGGTTGCAAACTCCATTGGTAAATTGAATTGAGATTATGACCATATCTTGAGGGAAAGAATTTTTTTGGGGAAAAAGGGGGGGATTTTTTATTTTGCAAAAAAAGGGTGGGGGGGGGGGTCAATTCGCACAGGCACACTGTATTGCACAAAAGCAAAAAATTGAATATAAATTCAAATCATATAACCAATTCTAAGTTCTTTGACTACAGTTATTCTGTGTCAGAAACCTATTATGTGTCAAATATTTGATTACAATCCAAATTCAGACCTGTATCAAGCGCGAATATTGTGTCCATTTTTGCCCCAACTGTTCAGGGTTGGACCTCTGCGGTCGTATCCAGCTGCGCCCGGCAAAGCAATTTATTCTACATATTGACACAGATAGATAACTTCAAACCAGAATCTATGACGAACTTGATGACTTCAAATTTCCAACTATCAATTTCCTATTTCTCAGCAGTAACAGACTTCTTTACCAGGGGTGTGCTGCTGACGAAAAACTACTCCAGTCCAACAGGATTATGACGAAGAACAACGACTGAAATCTACACTACACAATCTGATGTGTCTGTGTCTCAACTAACTAGGAACATGTATTTTGCAGTTTTAGTTGTTTATAAACCAGAATAGTTGTCTGATCTGTAAATTTCCTGGTTATAACATTTTACCTTACTGTGGATTCACAGGTGGATGATACATGTATAGCAGGAGACGCTTACCCTGGTCTCACCCCTTTTTGATTCACTCAATTTTTGTTTTTTTCCCTTGATTTGTATCCAATTAATGGATATATAATGTGATTAAAATCTGATTATCTATGGTTGCCTCTAATTAACTTTATAAAGGTATTATAAAATATAAGTTTGATCCATAATGATAATTTTTGTCTCGCCTGTGACAAGGCAAGACATAGGATTTACTTTTCCAGCAGCTTTGTCTTGGCGGCATCAACAATTATATTGTTAAGTTTTCTGCTTAAGTTAGTTTGATAGGATCTACTTGTGATAGATCATTGACATGTAATATAAAGTTGCATTACTATCAATATATGGTCCAGTGACTTTCAATTATTTAGAAATATTGCTGTCCATCAGAATATTTTTTTCTGAATTTTCTTCAGACAGGTGAAACATCATTTTGTGATTCGCAGTTGATATTTTCAAACAAATCTGAAAATCAATATATTACAGTTTATGTTATATTCATTCACAGTTCCAGACTTCGGGCATGGCATCATTGGAATGTGGTATATTCATTTGTCTTTTGTTCAAGATAGTATATTGACCTCTAAATGTTCTGGGTTACTGTCTCATTGGTATGTTCTCCATATCTTTTATTCATATACATGTACATATAATTATATATCAGTGCTTTCATAAACAAATCAAGTTTGATAAAATGGGATCAAAGAGAGAAAGAAAGACAATGACTTAAAGGAATTGTGACAGTGACAACTAATTGCTTAGGTGTTGATTCTTTAGAACATATTTGTAAACTTAAAATTTTGGGCCAAGATGCACAAAGTTCTGTTCCACCGTACTTTATTCAAAATGTCTAGCAGGTAGGGAAAACATGATTCCCTTTTGTGTATTCATTTCAGTCTAGTTTTCAACCCTACCCCTATAAATTTTCTAAAATCTTTAGGTATGTTAAAGATGTATACTTCACTTTGTGTACATATTCAGTGATTGGTTAAAAATGTTAGAAAGTGGCCATAGTTGAAAATAAACATGGATCAAGGTGAGCGACACAGGCTCTTTATAGACTGACAAGTGCTGTCACCTAGCTTGATACAATCAGATTTGAGACAGAATTAACAGTCTAAGGCTATTTAGGGCCTATAGTTCTATAAAAAAAAATTTGTGTTATATTTTTTTTAGTAAATATCAACTAATATTTTGACTTCTTTTAACTTAAAAGTTATTTAATGCATTCTTGTTCTTATCCATACGATGTTAGAATAAAAGTAGTATATATAAAATTGAGAATGGAAATGGGGAATGTGTCAAAGAGACAACAACCCGACCATAGAGCAGACGACAGCCGAAGGCCACCAATTGGTCTTCAATGCAGCGAGAAACTCCCGCACACGGAGGCGTCCTTCAGCTGGCCCCTAAACAAATATGTATACTAGTTCAGTGATAATGGACGTCATACTAAACTCCAAATTATACACAAGAAACTAAAATTAAAAATGATACAAGACTAACAAAGGCCAGAGGCTCCTGACTTGGGACAGGCGCAAAAATGCGGCGAGGTTAAACATGTTTTTTGAGATCTCAACCCTCCCCCTATACCTCTTGCCAATGTAGAAAAAACAAACGCACAACAGTACGCACAGTAAAACTCAGTTTAAGAGAAGTCCGAGTCCTATGTCAGAATAGGAAACAAAAGAAAATAAACAAAATGACAATAATACATAAATAACAACAGACTACTAGCAGTTACTGACATGCCAGCTCCAGACCTCAATTAAACTGATTGAAAGATTATGTCTTCATCATATGAATATCAGGCACAATCCCTCCTGTTAGGGGTTTAGTATTATACCATCATAAATTATATGAGAAGAACATAACCCGTGTCATGCCAACAACTGGTTTCAGAATAAATGTGTTTAATTCCGATGCAAAGACCCTATAAGTGAATAAATATTAAAGCCAAAATATGCAATCTTTAATGACCTGACAACAGTATCGTAACTATATCCCTTCTTAACAAGTCTGTTTAAAGGTTTTGTTAGCTTTTGAGGTGAATACTGAAATTTTTGTGCTTTGTAAAGAATATTACCATAAAAGATTGGATGTGAAATACCCAAACGTATAAGATGTCTGCATGTTGAGTTATATTTACGAATGATGTCCTTATACCGATGATAAAATTTAGTAAATGTTTTGACTAGTTTATGATATCGAAAACCCTGGTGTAATAATTTTCAGTAATACATAAATTTCTCATAGAATACATATATACTTGCTTGAAAGTTGACACCTTTCATTTTATACCTTGAAATATATGCTACATAGTTTTAAGATTTACACCTATGCGAAGGAACTATTTTGTTTAAAGTATTTACTGCTTTCCAGTATGTTCTTTTTTGACCTGGCCCGATTAGGTGGTGTTACATCTTACAAAGTCTATCCAAATTATTTTTGCAATGAATTCCGCTCAAGACGGTGCTAGGGGCCGTCTCAAACTTGCAGTGAGGTGGGAGTTTTTTTGCTCCGTGAAAAATGCCTCACTGTGACTTTGAGGTGAAGAAGAGCAATAAAAGCGCTGTTCCTTTGCTTTTTGTGTTTTTTTTTTTTTTTTGCTGTGCATGTACTGGTTTTGAGTCATGGATGGATACCCCATATCCTTTGTTTTTCTATTAAATGTACAGCCCACTTTATCTGGATATTTTGAGAATTGTTCTTGTT